TCACCACCATTATTCGGAGTAAAATTTTGAAAAAAAGTCTCGCTCTTAAATGGAACATTAGAGCCCTGATTTATTCTGTAGTCCCTGTCTGCAGATGAACTGGAATTTCCCGCACCTGAAGATATCACCATTGCACAATGGACATCACTGCAAGAAACAGTGTGAAAGCCAATCATAAGTATGAGAGACAATGTAGCACAAATGCCATGTCACGAATTCATTTTAAGCTCAAAATACATTATGAATAGTCTTCTATCGATGAGAGTCTTCTAAGCATGTCTACTGTGACTACCTTCTAAATTTGATGTGAATTATTTCTTTAAATGATTGCTCATGTTAGAGAAAAGGTTTAGATCATGAAAGTAATTAATTCATGTAGGGCAAGCCCCCACCTTCATTGCAGCACTAAACATAGAGTACCAGAGATCTCTCCAAACAAACAGTAAATAGAAGATACGCACGCAAGATCATTATGGTAATGTCAACTGTGCCCAGTTGAAAATCAAATTATACTAGAACCAAATACTCAAAGACATGAACTCGCACAAACCACTATCAATTATAAAACACATCTGTGAATCATAAAGCCCCAATTAACAACCCAGTTGCTAGTAAGGTCAAAACTTTAGTACACCCATGAGTAAATTACCTAAAATTTAACAATCAAGTAAACTGAGAACCCAGAGAAACAAAGCCCAAAAAGAATAGAAGCAGACAGTTAGAGAGTTAGAAGCTCACTGAGAAAAGGAGTGAACTTTGGCTCGCTTATGGTGCGAATCGTGATCACCGTCGTCTGCAGCGGAAGCCGAGCTACTCTCGCCCTCGGATAGCCGTGGACTCCTAATCGCGGCCCTCAACGTCGCAAGAGCGCCAACGCAGACCGACTCGTCCCATTGAGCACCACCACGCATTGCTTGGACCATCCCTTCGAACATTCGTAGATGGCCGTTGCCGTCGCGGCCAGGGTCAATGGATGCAAGCCCTAATCTTGGAACATTCCCCTCGGCTTCCTCGCCATTTCCGGCAACGCCCTCCGCGCTGCCCTCATTTTCAAAATTTCCCTCCTTCATGATCGGCTCCGCCTCGCTATCTTCCTCTTCTGGTTCGTCTTCTTGGGTGAAGCATAGGCAGCACCAAATCTTCATGCACTCGAAGGAAAACCTCGGACCTCTGCAAACCCTAGGTCACGATCCGACCCATTTTTACGCCCTGCTCACTCCTCCTCCTAAATTAACACCCCAATTGACGCAGAAATGATGGAACAACTCAAGAAACCCTAGAAATGCGAGAGCGTCGATTCAATTTTGGAAATTTGATTGCTCGGTAAGCAACACAGGAATTGATCGATATCTACATTAATGTACAAACTAATTAACAAACATAGGGAGGACGAGAAAGAATTTTAGTGGATCTGATAAGATCCTGAGAGCTTATTTGCGGTGGACGCTTTTGTTGTTGTACCCTCTAGTGCTCTGATATAATCTGTGTTTTTCTACTTCGAACGGAAACTCAAAGTCTGCAAGAGAGTCTAGCTACCTTAAAAAAAATTTATATTATTAACAATACTATATATAAATGCTGGAATCCATACGACGCCGTTTCTTCTTCTTTTTTCTTTACTTTTTTTTTCCTTTTACCATTGGTTGGTCTTGTTTCCTTCTTTGATAAGTTTCTTGTATTTCTCACCATGTTTCTTGCATTTCTTCTTTATTCTTTTGTTATTTTTCTAGTTATATTCGCTTTTTTTTTCCCTTCGAGTCTAAATCTTATATCATGATTTTCCCTCCTAAAAGGAAAATTATAAACGACACTATTATTGTATGAGAATCCTTATTCTTAGTTAATGAGTAAGGAATATTAAAAGTAAAAAACAGACCATGATTGCCTAAAATTTAAACTAAAAACTATGTTTGTTTTGTATATTTTTTTAAGCTCGCGCTATATAACGTGAATGTTGTTTTTCATAATTTAGTTTATGCATTAAATAAATATAATATTACAATAAGATTGGTTTGACTTAATTAGGTCGTTGACAAGTGTGCTTAAGAAACGCCATTAGCAAGACTGGTAAACAAAATTAGTGAAAAGAAAGCTTAAACTTTGATAATTAAGAATGATTAAGCATTAGCCATTTGGGAACCTTGGACATTAGACAAAGTCATCAATTCCCAAATAGGGGAACACGTAGGTCCCACGGACATAACCAATGGTGACAAAAGGATGTTGGTAAATCAGCGAGTCCTTCAAAATCTTGAAAATCTTACACAGCAGCGCCTAAAGGTTGTCCTTTCCACCAAAAATGGTCGACAGCAGCACTATGCTTCCAAATTTTAAACATGAAAACATACTTTGAGCCCCGAAAAGCCCAAGCATTCAGCAAACCAGGCCTCAAATTGAAAGCCTTTGATTTCAATTTGGCTAAAGAAAGAAAGCCCATAAAGACTTGTGCCCAACAGTCCAAACAAACATTCATTTTTTCAAGCAAGACCTCTAAGTTTAGTGATGAATCATGTTCCAAAGCGGTCGGTCGAGAGAAGTTTATCTCCGAATGCACTTAGGCACGCCTTAACCGGAGCAACTGTTTAACAAACTCCAAATGACCATCATCATAAGCAGGCCCAACCACCATCTCGTCAAGCACAGGAGAATTCAAAAGCATAAATCTTGATGAAATCCAATTCAGCTTTGAATTTTGAGATGTCGGATATAATAACAAGTTGCAGTTGGGTGAATGGGCAAAAAAAGATGAAAACATCACTGATGTAATGCAATGGCCAGTGGTATAGAGACGGAGAAGAGATAGCAAGCAATAAAGTTCACAACTAAAGGAATTGTAACCACATTTCACATGGGGATGCATAGCAACTTAACAAGTTACTAACATATGGTGTCAGGTTTGAAACTCCATAAAACATATGGTGTCAGGGGAATACTCACACACACGAGTACTATGAGAATGAATCCATAACCACTTGGGAGCACATCAAATATCTTGGCCAATCCAACTAATACAAATACCATGGGAGCTTACTGGTTAACACACGTCCTAATACCCCTAAAAACAATTAAAGAAAAGGAAACTTAAACTTTGATAATTAAGAATGATTAGCATTACCCATTTGGGAACCTTGGACATTAGACAGAGGTCATCAACTTCCAATAGGGGAACATGCAGGTCCCCTGGACATAACCAATCCAATGGTGACAAAAAGATGTTGGTAAATCCGCAAGGTCATAAAAAAAACTCGAAAATCTTCCACCACAGTGCCTAAAGGCTGTCCTTTCCTCCAAAACTAAAATTCTATATCTATCTCTTAATCGTTAAATCAAACAAACTTATTTGATAAAGATGTCATTCCACCAAAAATGGTCGACACCATCATTGGACTGCCCTGCCCACTATGCTTCCCAATTTCCAACATCAAAATACACTTTGAGCCCCCTAAGCCCAAGCCCTCACCCGATCAAAATTGCAAAACAGGCCTCAATAGGCCTGATGTTGTTGAGGTCGATCCAATCTTAAACAAGTTGGCCTAAAAATATGACACAAGTTTCTTTTAGTAAATCAAATTGATAGCGTCACGTGCTTAAAGGTAACTGGTTCAAGTGTCAAGGTTATTTCTCTTTTACTTTTGGGAGTTGGTGTGGTGTGTACAGTGTACGTACGACTTGGTGGAAAATATATCCATAGATTAGCTTCCACTCTTCTAGATGGTTTCCACTGCATCGGTTTTCAAAGTGTAGCAAGCAGCCTTTTGCATGATTCAAATCTTCCAACATGTGAAACATATACGAGAAAGAATCAATTACACGAAACTAATTAATATATAAATTTGTGTATGGTTTGCGTTTTGTGATACAATCGTACGCTACAAACAGGAACAAAGCCTGTAAAATTCGTCTTTTTTTTTTGTTTTGGTATTTTTAAAGTACAACACGTGGTTGCATGACACGCTTACAAAGGACGTACAGGATGCTGTTTTTGCATGGGATTAATTAACCGAGGAAGCTCTCTCTGATTACTTATTAGTAAGTTGTCGTTGGCTTTGGCTTGGGCTTTGGGTGTGGCTCTGGTGCAGCTTACAAGAAATCATGATCTTATAATTGCCTTCTAAAGCCGGACGCGGGGCCCACCCTAGTTCAACTTTTCTCTACTTTTCATGGGAGAAAAAAGAAGAGATATGAAAGGGGAAAAGAAAATAAAGGGGAGAAGAAAAGTGGTTGGATAAAGAAACCAAGATAGATTTGATTTTCCTTGAAACCAAACAAACAAGCAAAGCTCGAGGCTTGTGAACAAGAAACCAAATCGATAATGCATGGCAATTTGATTTCTTTTGCATGAAAAGAGAATCTGATGCCTAACTACACGCCTAATTAGCTACACTTTTTTCCATCTCCTTTATTTTTTTGTTGAAAAGATAAACTGAGCCCTTTGGCCAAGTTGAAGTCAAATCATCTCGAACTGAACATCAAGGCCAGTTCAGATTATCCTGGACAAATACACGAGTAAATTGAACGGTCCAAATTAAATTAAATTAAATAATTCACCTTAGAAAAAGGGGTAAAGGGAAAGCAAAAGTAGGAAAAAAATAAAAAGAGATTGGCTTGTCATGATAATTTGTAACCATCAATGTCATTGATAATTGAGTTTGCACAGAGAGAGAGAGAGAGAGAGAGAGAGAGAGATGATCATGGCCGCATTTCAATCTAGGAGCATAATGGTCATATCATTGACTTGTTTGTTTCCTTGATAATACTTCCATCCTTTTTTTTTTGGCTTTTTATTTTATGTTTAATTAACAAAGAAACAAATGCATGAAAACGATCAAAATTTATCGCTCAAACTATTTCTTTACATTAATTGCTCCAACACATTCTTTGTCGAATGTCGATTTTGATAACAATGGCACTGACACTGACCCACCAGCAGAAACTAATTCAGAGAAAAAAGATGCCAACACAAAACAATTACATTGCGACAATGACTATTTATTCTACTGTTAAGGTTGAGAAACCCTAGGGAAAATTTTCTGTCCTGGAGCAAGGATGGCCATTGGATCAAAGCAGGTCTTCCGCTCCACGAATCTCGACCATCGATCATTTCCAAAATGCCGCTTCCAATCATCCTGCGATCGATAGTGAGGCAGATACAACTTGAAATCAAACCCCTTTTTGGTGCAATATTGTATAATTTCCTTGTTCTGGGCCACTAGGTTCTCGAACGAGGGACCTGTTGGGTATGGTGGAGTGAAACGTAACAATGCCACTATGTAGAAGATTTCACTTTCTGGTAGCGCCACTGATGTACGCGTATCCCACCTGATCACATTTAATCAAACGTTACGGCTGATTAATTAAAGGTAATTAAACAATTAAGCTAATGGCAACTACCAACTAAAACAAATGCAAGAGGGGTATTTTATATAGGTTGAAAGCTTCGTTATGGATCTATCAACAAGAGGGGGTATTTTCGCACACCAGAAAATGGAGTTTTGAGCCAGACAAAATTATGGTGTCGATACGCATATTCCTTGTCGTTTCTGAAATGGCATGAGACTCACCGTGAACGTTGCATCACTCGGAAGAAATCTCATTTTCCGTAAAAAGAGGAAAATTCTGCGTGACCAACATATCCCTCGCAGTATTTCCAACGCTTCCTGTCTGGCTAAATCGATATCACGGGCTTTAATTTACGAAACTACCCTTTTAGGCTCAATTCGGAAAATCATAATATTTGAAACGACAAAACCTATGACTCATTTTGAGCTAATTAAGCATAGAAAAAACTATTTAAGGAAAGAAAATAAAAAGGGGTATTCTACAATGTGGGGACCACTGTATCTTTGTCCGGCAAGTACTCATCCAGTCAGTCTTCCTACGTTTGCTTATACGCTAACCCAACCAAACAGCTCCACCAAACCTAACGTGACGTAAATAATGATAATTCATGAAATGCAATATGGTGCCGATCCGCTACGGTTGGGTGCAGGTTTAAGATGGTACAACCATCATCAGCTGTCCGCACATAAAAAAAAGTGGAGTAACTCTGAGGTCCCACTTGACCTTATAAGTAGAAAATATTTGACCTACCGTCGGAATCTTAACCACCCGATTTTAAATTTCATCCAATTTGTCAGCGAATCAGATTCAGAAAATGATGTTTATCATTTGTACCATTTTAGATGCACCAAAAATAGGCATAAAATGTCAAATTTTAGTACTAAAAATAGATATTATTTGCATATTAAGAATTTTATGTTCGAACTCAAATAAGTAGTGTGTATTCCAACAAAATAGCACCTTATAATTTAAACTCTCGCTTATATTTCACACATAAAAAAGTCAATATTTAAATTTTAATTTTCCGACAAACTATTAGAAAGCATTCTAAAATGCATGGATATCCAAATTAATACGGATCAGCAACCTAAAATACGTATGTAGGTATGATTTTCCGTTAAGATTTAGAGTGACAGGGCAAGGCGGGGCCTGGGGGCATATGTGGACACGTGTCAATTTTGGAGGCTAGCAGAGTAAACCTCGTCGGCTCACAGTAAGCTCTGAGGCTACTCAATTTCCACGTGGCAAGAATGCAAGGATTAAACGGCAAAGATTAATTATATAATTAAAGGAGAGGGAAAAACGTACTTGCTTCGCAGCAGAGGGTAGACGAGCATGGGCCCACCAATCCCATCCTTGAGGATCTTCTTGATGACCGTTCGATCAAAATCAGCGATATCAGATTTCGAGACGAACAGGTTCAACCAAGGATGTGGCGCGTCCCATATCCCGTTGGCCTTGGCGTGTTCCTCTGCACGCTTCACACGCAATAAGAACTCGAGGTAGCTGAGGTCCACTTGGAACTTCAATCGCTCAACGAATCCGAGGCCTCCAAGCAATCTGTTCACGCCCTACAGAGAAAAAATTCAGCAAATAACGTCAAACTCCAGGGGTATTCCCGTCATCACACACCCACACAAGGGACATACATTCATGATTTACAGATTCCAGAAAATGATGGCAATTTGGCCATTTGTGGAACTATGGGGACCACGCCGTCAGCAAAATCCCAATCATCAAACGTCTACTGACGCCTGTTATTACCATTTTAGCCCGGGAAAAGAGTGTCATTCTGGTAATTAAGAGCTAACCTCAAGGGTTTTTATAGATAAGTATTATGTCAGAAAATCCAACGGAAGATAGTAAGATACACTATTGGCGTATTGTCAGTCTCAAGTTGTAGCAAGCGACAGAAAGAAAACTTCCGATAAGATGAAAACTAAATAATAAAATTTAAAATATTTTTATAAAAAGTCGGAAAATAATAATAATAATAATAATAATATATTAGAAGACGAAAGTACACAGACAGAGTGAGTGAGGGGCATGAAATGAAATGGTGAATGGGAAGAGTGATGATGGAGAAGGGAGAATAAGCCGTCCTCCATCGACGAGCTTCGAACACGTGTGAGACTGAGTTCACTTCAGAGGGTTTGTTTTGACTTTTTCACTGTCCGGCGGTAGACGGTTTTGCGCGGGGCGCACTTAACCCACTCGAGGTCAAAATCTTCGCGGCTGTGGGGCCTACTTAGCAACCACCTAGGTCAAAACTCAGTCATCACTGCATGGCCCTACCCAAAAAAAATAAACTGTACTTTTGTGGGGGCCATAAAAGCAGAGCCATGACGCAAACTATAGAATCAAGCTCTTGAATGGCCAGCAAGTTAGGGTGCAGATTTGTTATCCTAGGACAAGACGCAGGAGATAACTTTTATTTCTTTTATTAAAGTTAATTACCATATCAACAATTGAGGGGTCGTCAGAGTTGCGGTAGTGACGAGCCAGTTCGAGACAGTAGAGCATTGATCCGGCGGTTCGTGGAAGATGGGTCGGGTCGAAGACCTGGTCCGGATCCAACGGCACGGAGGGCCGCCCATCTGCCGGGTTGTCGCTGTTGACGAAGGCAAAGCCTTCCACGTAATCAAACGAGTCGTCCTCGTCCTGCCGAGTCACCAGTAACTCGGCGTCCCGGGTGAAGTCCTCAAACTCGGTGTACACCAGCCTTATCCATCTCACCTAATCACATAAAAAATCCATAATTACGTTCCGTAAACGTGTCTCTCATGCACCCAGTCCCACCGATAATTTATGGTTAGAATGTAGCAATGTTTATAATTTTTTTCTTTTATTAATGAATTTGGGAAGCCAACAAAAAAAAATGATGAAAAATCTGAATTTCTGAAATACCAACCATGTCTGGGGCTGGTTGGAGCAAAACCCTAGCTCGGGTGATGATACCGAACTGTCCGAGTCCGCCAAGCGCTCCGAAAAAGAGCTCCGAGTTTTCGGTTTCGGAGCAATTGAAAATTTCGCCTTTCCCCGTAACGACTTGTAGCTCCGTAACGTTTGACGTTTGTGGACCGTAACGGAAAGCCTGACCGCTGACGCCGGCGTTGGATAACGTCCCGCCCACCGTCAAGCTGAGGTAATCAGTCCAGGACCTCGGGGCCATCCCGTACTCGGAAACGCACCGTTTCAGCACATGTTCCCATAATGCCCCTCCGGACACGTCGGCGTAGACGGAGCCATTGTTCGCTCTTACCACTCGGAAATGGTCGTCCAAGGACCGCATGTCCAAGACGAGGCCTCGATCCGCCATCGCCTGGCCGTTGATCGAGTGGCCGTTGCCGCGCGCCGCCACCGTCAGATTCGAGGACCTGGCAGCCTCTTTGACCACCCTCGCCACGTCATCGGCGTTGGAGGGGCGGATGAAAAAGAGCGGCGCTAGGGAATTCATGCCGCCGAAATCTCTGGAGGCCTCGTCGGTGGGCCCCTCGCAGTCGTGGATACTGCCTTGGAGGTCCAGGGCCTTGGAGAGGCTGGAAACGTCGTCGTCCGGCCTCGATTCGGTGTCGTTTTCGTGAACGAAACACTCCAGGTAGGCTATCATTTTGGCCGGAAAGGAGTTGAAAGATTATTTTCGCCGGTGAGCTCTCTCTCTCTCTCTCTCTCTCTCTCTCTAGAAAGCCTCAAAAGCCAGGCACTTGTCTGTGTCAGAGAGTAGAAGAAGAAGTACTCTTAGCTAGCTCTCTAGTCTCTTTTTTAAGTGGTGGTTACAGTTTGGAGTTTACGGCTTAAATAGCGGCTGATTCTCGTCCCTCCTCCCTCAGAAACCAAATGATATATTAATTAATTTAATTAATTACATTATTTTAAGTGTTTGAGAATTTAATTGATCAAATATTAAACAAAATATTGACGTCAGCCTAGCTTCAATATCCTGTTGACGTTGTGATCCTATCGACATCCTCTGTCTGCCACTTCCACATAATATAAATTAAATTAAATGATTTTTTTTTATATTTTTAATTTTCTCAGTTTCCATTTTGTTTTGGTTTGTTTCACGCTTATAGTGCATGATTACTTGTTAAGTGATCATTAGTGACATCTTCTTTCATGCTCTATTTTATTTTTGAAAAGAAAAACTAAAATTAACAGTCTCACGACATAACATTGAATCGTGAACGAGGAGAAATCAAATGACATACCATTGAATCATGAAAGAGGAGAAATCAAATTTGTAGAGTAGGGGATGATACATGCTATATTACATGCAAGTTTTAATCATTCGTCCAGTTCTTTGGCCATCAAAGTATTACGGTTACTTGAATTTGCACCAATAAACTGGAAGGTGTAAACTGAGAGCAAAAATTTTATATTCACGGGCCCTCTGCCTCATGAATATTAAAATCTTCATTGGTCGTAGCCGTATAAATTATACGTGACAATCATATTTATCTAGTCTGCAATGAATCAATCAAAAAATGGTAGGTTTTACAACTTGCATGTCTCGAATGGTTAGGCCATTTAAACTTTAAAGGGTGAAGTAATTGTTATTATTATTTTTTTATCCTAACCGTGCAAAAGTATATTTAACTTTAACTCGTGATTAAATTGTGATATATGGACATGAAATGATAAAAAAATAAAGATTGAAATTACTCTAATCGAATAATCAAATCTCATTTGAAGATGCTTTAACTCAAATATGTTCTTCAATTAAATTTTAATTAACCTAGACTCTCTAAGTACGCGAAAGGACGCAGATGGCCTAAGTGCTGCATTTAGGGGAAAAGTTGGTAGGCATATTTAATAGTTCTTTATACCTTGTTTTTTTATTTAATTTTAATTAAATTGTTGACATTGAAATATTATATATTCCAATAGTCAACAATAGTACCATAGTACCACCACGCCTTCCTTAATGGTTGTACACTATGACGGCTTTGGCTATAAACAAATATTAGGACGAAAGAGTGGTCGAATGAAGATTTATTAGACGAGTTCCATTTGTTAGTTTATTGATAAAGAAACAAAAAGTAAGATTAGTTCATCAATATATTAGAAAATGGTGGTTGAAATGGTTTTTCGTATAACTACTCTATTTGCAACGATTCGAATCTCATAATCACCATTTCAACTTAATTTTGATAATCAACTAATTCTTAGTGCCAGTTTGGCATTGCTTATTTGGGGTGATAAGTGATTTTTTAAAAATTTTGATAAGCCAAACTCGTTTGGTAAACTGTGAAAAAATCACTTATTGTTAAAAATTGCTGTGAAAGAAAGCTATATGGGACGCAGCTAATGAGGTGCTTTCATTTTTTGATTATACAATAAATCAGTTTCAAAGAGGTGTTGGGTTTAATGATTATGCAGCAATCATTTTCTGATTTTGCGTAAAATCAATACCAACAACCCTTTTAACAAAAATTTTACAAAACGTCAAACTGCTTTATCTCACAGCTAATTTCTCTCACAGCAAATCTAACAGCGATTATTTTCACAGCACAGTAATGCCAAACTAGTTTAGTGATATAATTTTATTTTATTTTTGAAAGTAACCAATTCTTAGTTTAATAATATATGTTTTCTTTCCCTAATGTTGTAACACGTTTCAAGTTCGAGAATCCCTAATTTGAAACAAAAGCATATCGCGCATGTGCTATGACCAAGCACTGTTCGTAAGACTTGAAGCAACATGTTAAATAATTAGGCCAAATGTTCATTAAGTCAACACAGCTTGTGTTAGAAGTCAGATAATATTCTATATTCGAATTCATAAAAGCAACATCAGAATTCAGAAGCAACATAAGTCACAAAAATCAGTTGGGCACGCGCATCTAATTTACAAGTATTTTAAGTACATTGTACCTGTAATAACCGATTATATGTTTATGTTGAAACATTAAAAGTCAGAAACTAATTAGCAAAAGTCAACCAAATTAAGATATAGTTAAATAGACCATTTATCGTGTGATTACGAAACCCTAACTAAAGTGCAGTAGACCTAGAAGCACATCTCTTATATAATTAAAGGTCAAATATTAATTTTGTTTCTGAATTTATAAGTTTTATAAGTACGTATGTCAAATGTCAAACCGGCCTCTAAACTGCCACTGGAATGACTCACAATTGTAGGTGCTCTCCAATCTAGGCTTCCTCACGTTTATCATTTCTTTTATACAAAGTCACACCGCCTTGGCCATTGTTTTCTAAATTCATTATTTACACACATCATCTTGCTCAGTTGTCAAACCCTAATTAACAAATATTTTTGAGTTCTATACTTGGAATTCAATCAATCATCCAAGTTCAATAATATTTATATTTATTTAAAATATTTGGCATAGTTTAGTCCGAAGATTTTACTAGCATCAGCCGTCCACATAATTGATGACAATTGTTTATTTGAGTTATATATATATTGTTGGATTCATAACAATCAATGACTTGCAGCCATCTAAGTGTACATCGACCATTCTTATCATTATCGGTTTATTTCAAATTTTAGAAAAAAAACCACATTGAAACTATAGTTTGTAGGTTTTCAGAGGCAAGTTGAAAGAATCAATCTTGGGGGTCCATATGATGCTGGGGATCTCTAGCATCTCTCTTTTTATGTCACGCTATGATATTCTTAACTTTGGCCCTTAGGGAGTAGACAAACTCTCTGACTCCAAACGCCCACAGTACACAAAACAAAACGCCCCACACCAAAATCCTTTTTGCGATTTTAAAATCTGCCACAATTCGCATTGTTGCCCAAAAGATAAACGATAAGGCAAGAGGAAAATGAGAATCCTAGGCACAAAATAATTAACTTCTTTTGAAGAAGAAGCTCAAAAATTGATCCCAATTCCGATAACCTTTTCCAACCATGAAAAGATTTTAAAAAGAACTATAAATATACTTTTATTTCGTAATAAAGTAGTGTAGTTGTTTACAGCTTAAAGAAAAAGGTTATGCGATTATTTAATTACCAAGTTAATTATTATGCTGGTATGTATTGCTTGCTTGTCGTTTATTGCCCCGCTTGAAAAAAAAGAAAAAAAAAGGACCATGGTTAGAAAGAACTCAGACCTCTCTTTCATTTCCAATATTCTATCATTTGATAGATAGGTTAAAATTCAAGCTTAAAAGCGAGTATAAAGATAAAGGAAAAAGACTAATCGTAAGGGTCAAATTTATGATTACAAATAACTCCAAGAAAAAAGAAATTATTACAAATGACCTTAGTTGTGATTGATTATTAATCTAACCTACTAGATATATATATGAAAATGAAATAAAGGGTTGTTTCGATAGAACCAACATTTTTGTCATCGTCAAGGAGCTAAGCTTATGAAGAGGAGTAAAACTCTATCTATTTGTTGTGAGGAGGAGCGTAAATGGTTATCTGGTCTTTTAAAGTGAAAAAGATGATGAAGCAACTCTTTTTGTTCTCATTTGGTATATGATTAAAGTGCGTGACCCAGTATATATAGCAACTTGTTGTCGTTTTGACAGTTCATTATGTGTCAATTATGATCCTGCTTGAGTTGGAAGCAACCATGCAAAATTGGGACAAGACAAGTTAATTTTTCTGGTTTGTCATCTATAGCTGCCTTATCATAAAATCGAATTCGAGATTTTAGAGATTTATAAGATCTTGACGCACCTGGTCCAAGATCTCACTGATCAAATGAGACAAGGAACTAATAACGAAATTAACATTGGCTAATGACAAAGATATATAATGCTCTTTCCGATGAAGCGGGAAACACTTGGACTTGGTCAAACCTAAAATAGCAACGGTCATAAACTGCCAGAGTTTCTCTTGGTCCATGTTTTGAAATTTCAACTGCAATCTTAATGCTTGATTTTGTTTCGTATTATCTTTAAATCTAGTAACTTGTCTATATCTTTGCTTAAATCATGTCTCAGATTTGCTATGGATTCTCAGCTTTCAACTTGCATACATAAGTTACTTGTATCAGTCCAACCAACCATTATGTTGTTTTTACTATAATTTGTTTATGGACCAATAATAATTTATACCAAGTTTTTTGCCTTGCATGATTGAGACTTGTTCAGAGGCGGCAGTATTTTATTACTTTTCATAGCTTATCTGAAAATCTGATTTTCCTTATCTGACGTAGATTCTTCATTTTCAAAGAAATATTCAAGTGTTGAACTTACTTACTACCATTTCAGATTGTAAACAGATACACAAAGAGATATTGTGTCGCGTGAGATGCGATATTCTGATGATGCAAACATTGAACACCAGTCTGCTGCTACAGATGAATAGTTTTACATTGGGCAAAATCTGTTTTCGTAATCCGGAGGTTAATAAACATGCGCAGAAATCTTGAAAACTTAGACGATATCGAGTTACTTTGACCAATTTGTTAATCACAGATTTCTTAGGATAAGGATCAACCAGGATTCGATATTTTTTTAGTCAAGAAACAAATGATTTTTTCAACAGCTGCAGCCGGATTTTGCAGTTGAATAATGTATGGCAGATGAGAATCTATGCAATGTCAAACTTTTCCACCAAGCTGAGGAAGCAAAAACAGATCCTGCTTCCATAAGCAGTAGGATTTTAAGATGGTTTTCTTGGCAATTACCTTAAACAATTAGAACCCAAGTTTGCGTGCACAGTTCTTGCGTCATGGCTTTCTTTTTCCTTTTTTGTTCTTTGGGTTTTCACGGGGACAACAATAACACAATTATAATAAAAAGCTGAGCAAGCATTATAACAGATTTTGCTTGCATAAGCAATAGGATTTTCTTTGTGGTTGATGATGTCCACAAGTTATTGCCATCTTCAGACGGTTTAATCTCAACAGGTATCTAATAAATGGTTATTTAAAACCAAATTTTATTTCTTTTTAATTTGGTTTCCTTTTTTTGAAGAACATCATTCTTAAACTGCATGATATAGCAGGAGATAAGTGATGGATAATAAGAGTGACCATTGTTGATGTAAACGAACATAAGTACTAATCTATTGATACTTCTATTTATAATCCTTCCTCTCTTAATTATCAAAATTTCAAACATAACACACATAGTAAACACTACTTCCTTCCGTGGCGAAGTTGCCAAATACTCCCATAATCACTAGCAAGTAATCTTTGTTGGCCACATCATATATTTCATCTCAGCCAAAAAAACAAGCTATTCAACACTTGGTATTCAATTTGATCGGCTACTTAAAAAGAATATGATCATGCCAATAATAAGAGCCACGAGAGAAGAACGACAAATAAATTCACTCATTTTACCTGCACATGGTTCAATTCAATCTATAATCAATGTATTGCATGCCTAATTGGTGAAGCACATATTGATTTGACTTCCAAAAATAAAAAGTATACAAAAAGCATGCCTAATTCAGTCACTGATCGCCTAATTAATCAGTATTTTGTGCCTACCCTCTGCATGCAAATAATTTTGCAAACAATTTTGTACATGTCCAAAAACAGCTATCTCTTGCCATTGCCAAGATGGCTTGAGCACTAGTCTACTATAGATGAATACTTTTGCATATATGATCCTGGGCAAAATCTGTTTTTGTAATTCCAGGATTGAAAATGGTGGCAGACGAGATAGCTATGAAAACAACTCGGCTCTTTGTGTCCAAAATGTGTGTCTACAGAAATCTTGAAAATTTAAACGAATTGAGTAGCTTTGACCAATTTGTTAATGATAAATTTCTTAGGATTTCCTTTTGAAGGCTCATAGTGATAAACCACCAGGATTCGATGATTTTGAAAAGCTCAGCAGCCTGATGTTGCAGTTGAATAAAAATGCATGACAGATGAGTTTACAAGTTGATGTGTCTATGCAATGCAATGTCAAACTGAGGAAGCAAAAACAGATCTTGCTTCCATAAGCAATGTAGGATTCTCTATTCTTTTGTATAGTTGATGATGTTTACAAGTTAATGTCTATTAATGTTTGACTGCAACGTAAATGTCTAAATGGGATCAGGGCTAAAGTGATTGAATATATCATTTTTGAGTTTCAGCACATCTGAAAATGATTGCTCAATGAATACGGAGAGAGAGAGAGAGAGAGAGAGAGAGAGAGAGAGAGAGAGACTTTTTAAAGGTCTAAATAATACGGGTGACTTATTGCCTAGGCAAGATTGAGCTTCTGGTAGATCTGTACTGTTTTGACATGTAAAACTAGAACCTGTTTGCTTGATCTGATTTGATATTCTGATGCAAATATTGCACTAGATTAATAGTTCTGTATACATCATCTTGTGGAAAACATGTTTTTCTAATCCAAAGTCTGAAAATTAAACGCTATGGGGTATCTTTGGTGATATTCTGATGCAAAAATGAGGTATTAGTCTAATCTAGTACATACAAAAATGAGGTATTAGGCATATGAAGTTGCTCTCAACACAGGTTGGTTTCAGGCATTTCCTTAAACAATTAGAACCCAAGTTGCCTGCACAGATCTTGAGTCAAGTTTTAATTATATATATATATATATAAAACTTCTATTGAGGGATCATTCAAATAGATTTTGGTTGCATAAGCAATAAGATTTTCTTTGTGGTTGATGATGTCTACAAGCCATTGTCATGTAGAGGTTGAGCTTGAGGATACTGTTTAATATCTACAATTATCTAATGAATGGTTATTTTAAACCAAATTTCATTTCTTTTGAATTTGTTTTCCTTTTTCAAAGGACATTGTTATTTTCTCGGCTTAACGATTGCATCATACACATCAACGAAACCGTAATCTTATTTGTGTCATTTTTGTTAAGACCACGACGGTTGCTTATGCCATCAAACCTAATTACTCGTATGCTATACTTCTCTTTCTAATGTTGATAATAAGATTTTATATTTAAAAAAATGTTGATAATGAGATTTTTTTTTATTTTTCAGTACAAACGATGGCCTAAACTAGTGTGAAACCAATCCTAATAAGATTAAATGAGGAATGAGGTATTATATTGAGTTCTGTCTTAATATTTTGGGCTAATAAAAGAAGAAGTGAGAACAATTATGGCCCGATGGCCCACTTCTCTCTCTCTCCCAAAAAAAAACAAAAAAAAAGGCCCACAGGCCTAATTTTACATTTCAAAATATGAGTAACATTGTAGCCCAGAATTAGCAACTCAAAAAAAGAAACACAGAAAAATAAATAAAATGAAATATTAAAAAGATATTATTACAGCGTGGATTGTCCAATTGGCACCTATTTGGGGGTCTACGTGGCAATTTTTTAACAGCTGGATGCTAATTGGTTACTGGTTGTTGGATTAGCTGTTGAGGGAGGCGGTTTAGGCGGGGAGAGTTTAGTGTGCTTTCGTTAACTATTTTTTCTGCTATATGTGATTGAAGGTTGAGAAGAGATAGCTAGAGTATTATCAGCTCCTCACTCGCTTCGCTACTCCGTCGCTGCAGCCGTGAGAACTAGCGTTCAGTTTCAATGGCAATGGATCCAAAGCGGCCTCAAACTTCTCATCAAGTTGCTCCAGGCCAGGTACGATCGACTATCAAGTTTCTCATTCTCAATGATTGTTCTTGATTTATGTTTCTTGTTAATTTTCTGCTTTATTTGAATATAATAATATTTCATTTGAGGACGAACCATGAGAAACCTTGTACAATAATATAGGGTTCGTCCAACTCGATGGACCGAATCAGTGAATTAGAAGAAGGAATTCTTGGAAGCATAGTGTCTAGGTTGACACAGGATGAAATATTGGATACTCGTTTACTCTCTAGGATATGGCGCAGTGTGTGGGCCAGGGATGAATATAGGTTCTCCGAGGAGGAGCTCGAACCAGAGAGGGAAAGAGAAATTTACGTCAATTTCGTAAATCGTGTTGTGGAAAATCACAATGGGGGACATGTAGAGGAGTTCATGGCTTTCTTCCATATGGAAAATGATAGGTCCACAAATGCAACGTTCGGGAAATGGCTGGAGTTTACGGAGAGAAACGGAGTCCAGAAAGTTATGTTGATCTTGTTGGATGATGGAATTTTCTCTAGTTCTATGAACTTGGTCTATGCTTCTTCTCCCCATGAATTCATAGGTAACTACAAGCTGAAACACGAGTGTAATGGTGTTAGTGATATTCCACACCCTTGTAAATACGGTGGCTTCAAGTTTGTAAAATCCATTTCTTTGTTTGGTGTTGTTACGGTGGGGGAAGCTTTCAAATGCTTGTTGGGCAACTGTAAATTCCTTGAAAAAGTATTACTGAGTGGTTGCGGAGGTTTTGGTTATAATGTAAGAGTTGTTGGACCAGCTCTTGCATTGAAGTATTTAGAGATACGGAATTGCCGCATTGAAAGCATTGAAATCAGTTGTGCAAACCTTGTTTCATTCACTTATGCTGGAGATTGGATACGCTTGTTTCTCTGGAATGTGCCGCGGCTTGCTGAGGTGTCCCTTGCCTATGATAGCAGAGCTTCTACAGTGTCTGTCTTCTCCAAACTGCACTCCTGTCATCCTCAGCTGGAGGTCCTCACACTGAAAACAAGCCTGGTAATAATTATGTGTTGGTTTTCATTCCTGTTTCTTGGATTATATATATCGGTGCCTTACCCTTTGTCTGGTTTTCAGATCCACAAAGAGAATTATACATTTCCTGGCTTAGAAATTCTCAAACATTTGGAAGTAAAGATTGCAACTGATGAGGATTGCTGTCTCCTTCAATTAGCTTCTTTCATTAAGGCATCTCCAGAGTTGCAGAAACTGGTGTTGGAGGTATATTTATATAGATAGGGTTTAAAAGAATGATATTTTTAATGTACTGATGTCATTCCAGTTCAATGATCACTCACTTAATTTGTATTTTGTGCCTAACCTCTCCTCTGTAGAGATTAATGCTCCCTTTCCGTTGGTGAGTTATTTCAAGTCAAGTTAAATTTATGACCTTATTTCCTTACGGCTATCTTGACTTGATTTTCTTACTAAATGTAACTCTTTAGCTGTAACTTTTAACCAAGTAGAAGAATGCATCTTCATCTTCCATTCAGTCGGTCCACTGCCAGTTGCTTCTACTTAATGTTGAATTTTCTCGGGTCACTACTTTTCCTGTTGGAATGATCTGTGTCATTTCGAAATGGTCAAGAAGTCATCAAGGATACTTAATGGTATTTCGGTTCTTGTTGCAGTTGACAGGTGTGGTTAGACCGGGAAATGGGATAGGAATCAAGGAAGCTGCCAATTGCTCCCATAATTCCCTCAGGGAAGTGGAAGTGAGAGACTATCATATTCGGCCTGGTGACGATAAGCTTATCATGTACTTAATTGAGAACGCTGTTAAACTGGAAAAAATTGTTATGCATCCTAATGAAGAAAGGGCAGTAGATCCTGCTATGCGGCAGCTCAAAAGACAAGTCCCTAAACATATAAACTTTGTACGCCTCTAAAGGGCAAAGAATTATTAGGTCCTTGTGCCTGCTTTTCCCCTGTATTTGGTATAAGTGTTATTTTTGTTTTTGTTTCGTTGCTTAGACTCTGTTTCTATTCCTTACTAGTTGCTTTGAAATTTTAGAGGGGGTGGGTGGCTTACTTGAATCAAGTGCAATGTAGACGCTTAAATTGGTTGCTCTGATTTGGATTTGAGTTTTTGTTTCTCATGCTCCTTGCTGTTGTTTTGTAATTTTTGAATTTTATTGCTTAAATTGAGACACTAGTGCCTTGACCAGTATCCTTTCTTTCCTTGTAGAAATGTTGAGAATTTGTTGAGACTAAAGCCTTCTAAAAATCTCTCTCAAGCATGGAAAGTTAGTGAGGAAATTGGGAATGGCCGCGTAAGCGAGACTCTGCTTTTCTCATGCCCTAAATGATGCCAATTTTATTGTACGGCGTGGGCTTTAAATTGCAGGCCGATTTAATCCCCCAAACGCCCTGCCCAAGTTAATCTCTGACCTATGAGCTAGTGTAGAAGTCATATAAAAAGAAATTTAATACTAATTTTTAAGCACTATACCTCATTTTACAAAAATTAGCCCAATCCATCCAAGCAAAAATTAGCATGTCCTATCCAAACAGATTTCCAGTTAGCTTCAAGTTTTCTCCTGTGAAAAAAATTAATGGAATTTTATTTAAATTTTTACCCATCTAAGAAATAATAGCCCACACCCCTAGAAAAAATTATAATTCCGTCATTGCTTGTAATTATGTGATTGAGTTCATTGCAATAGGCTAACTATGGGACCGACATGCTAATTAAAAATTTAAAAAATATAGCAATTAATGCATTATGCCATTAAGAGCATTCACAATGGTTGTTCAATAGTTCAATGCAATTGAAAAAAAATAGCAATTAATATATATTTTAAATATATTCAAAATTGGTCTCTTTTTAAAGATCACTTTGAGAATATTTCAATGGTACAGTTTTTAGTGTTATTAAATTTATCCATTTTATTTTATTTGAATATGTAAAAAAAATGTAAGAAGATATAACTATTGATTTGAAGTTATTAAATTGTACCATTACAAGTAAAATTATAGTTTTTTAACTATTGCATTGAACTATTGAACAATCACTATGGATGCTGTAAAACCTTTATAATTGAACCTGTTCCTGGTAAGATGGGTCGCTGATAAATAACCTGAGTCTTGTTGTACTGTGAGTAAAATTAAAAACATTTTAGTTTCATTTTTATGTTGCTTAACCTGATGATGCAATATTATCCAGGATTTGATTTTGAAGCGCTAATATGACTGAATCATTGCAGAAATGTATCTTACAACAACCAGGTGATATTCCCACAACCAAAAACTTTTAAAGGTTTTCTGTTAATTGGTGGCAAGTGAATATACAAACTCTCAAAGACACTAATCACTAACATATGAAGCCATATGATCACTACAAAACATATCACACAATTTCTAGATGAGGCGTTTGAGTACTTTATGCGTGTGACCACTTTGTAATGACATGAACCTTTTGTTTATATGCTTGAATTCTTCTCATTACCAAATTCAACTAGGACTCCATCTCACCAAGCAAATTGTATATTCATTTAAGTTATAATTGAATTAGGACTCTTTAACTCAATAGGATACTTAATCACATATTGTATGAGTTAGCAGCATGACATTTTGGACTTAAACTCAATGTCTGCCAACATAATTTCAATCAAATTAATAGTATTCTTGAACTTTTTTTTGGATTTTTATCACAAAACATCATGAGATTAATAAAATTATTAGGTTGCATATTTAATCTTTTAAATAGTGGTCCTCAAGGTTAACACATGCATTTAAAATAGTCCATGTTGTTAAGTTTTGTCCAAAAATCTGTTAAATTGATGACGAAGCATGCATATCCAATGATATCACGCCTTATGTGTCTCGTCAACAATTTAATAGGCTTTTCTACATAACATGGCGACAAAGACTACTTTTGAGCACTCGTGTAATTTTAGGGACCCCAATGACTCAAAAACATTAAAAATGCAACCTGATAATTTCGTTAACTTTATGACGTTTTAAAAGAAAGATAAGATTCAAAAAAATATTAAATAGAGACAGCTTTAGCCTTGAGATCCACCCCTCAGATTAAATGGACCCAAAAAACCTGCGTTTAACTTGTCAAGTTTCCCAAGACCAGGTACAACTATCAAACTTTGTCAATTTTGCTTAGGTTTTCTAATCGTTTCCATCTATATTGTGATTTTGATTTTCGATTCTTGTTCTTTTTTTTGTCTCCTTCGCTGTTTTGGTTTTGATTTCAGATTCTTGTTATATTTAATTTTCGTTATTTTGATTTTTTTTTCTTGTTTGGGGTCAAATTCTTGTACATGTAATTAGGTTTCCTCCAACATGGTGGATCGAATCAGTGAATTACCAGATGTAATTCTTGTGACTATAGTGTCCTGCTTGCGTGCACTGAAGGAAAAAGTAGCTACTAGTATCCTCTCGAAGCGATGGCGTTATGTTTGGGTTTATACTACGACTCTCGACTTCGGGGACCTGATGACATGCAAATCGATGCCTACGTCAAGCGGGTGAATAGTGTAGTGGATCAACACAGAGGTGGAAACGTAGAGCAATTTAGGGTTTATATTGATCTCGTAGACGAGAGGTATAAAAGTTCAACAGGTAGATGGCTTCATTTTGCTGCGAAAAGGAGAGTTCAGAAACTTGAGTTGTTCGTGTCACGCAATGATAAGTATGATGCGAATATGGAATTGAGCTATACTAGTTGTCTCCAGAATATCCACGGAGTCCTAGGTACCGGAGGGGGGTTGGGGTCCCCTCTGAAGCACCTGTGCGGGTCTCCTGAAAGTGTAAACCTTTGCCCTTGTAGATACAGTTGCTTAAAGTTTCTAAAAAGTATTGATGTGAGGTCTAATCGAATGACTGCGGAAGTTGTTGAGTGCTTCTTGTCTAACTGTGTATTTCTTGAACGAGTATCACTGTTGGGTGCGGAGTCAGGTAACCTAAGAGTTGTTGGTTCATCGATTGCATTGAAGCACTTAGAGCTGCATAGTTGCTATTTTGAAAGCGTTGAGATCCATGATGCAAACCTTGTTTCATTGATTTATTATGGACCCAAGATAAACTTGCTTCTTAGGAATGTATCGCGGCTTACTGAGGTGTCTATTAACTATTTACCCCCAGTTCGTATGATTGAAGACTTCTCCCAACTTTTCTTATGTTGTTCTCAGCTCGAGGTCCTCAAACTAGACACAACCTGGGTTAGTGAAAGCAAATTAATTATATATGTGTTGGTTTTCATTCCTTTATATTCTTTTTGGATTTTATATTATGTGTATAAATATATATATATATATATATATATATCTTGTTTGGTTTTCAGCTCTACGAGGAGGATCATACATTTCTTAAATTACCAAATCTCACACATTTGGAATTAGAATTTGCAGCTGAGGACAATTGCAGCCTCCTTAAATTAGCTTCCTTCCTTGAGGCATCTCCTAACTTGCAGAAACTGGTGTTGGAGGTATAATATCTTACTTGGTATTTATATTTACTGTGATGTTTCACTCGTTTGACACTTTTAATGTATACAGTTGTTATTCCAGTTCAATCACTCGCCTAGGTTAGTGCTCCACTGAATTCATACGTTGGTCAATTATTTTAAGTCAATTTAATTCTTGACGGCTAGCTTGCTTTGCTTTTGCTTACTACATCTCCTTGAGCAGTTTTTTCTGTGAACCTTTAGCTATATATGACTTTTGAATCAAGCAGGAAGACACCTTCATCTTCCATTTCTTTTTGGTGCAGTTGAGCGGTACGAGATCCTTGTTCATTCCCACTCCCTCAGGTGAGATAGAAATCAAGGAAGCTTCCAATTGTTCCCATCATTCCCTCAGGGTAGTGGAATTGAGAGATTATCGTGGTCGCACTAGTGATTTTAAGCTTGTCATCTACTTGGTAGAGAACGCTCTTGAACTGGAAAAAATTGTGATCGGTCCTCTCAAATATCCTCACCTAGTGATGAAGAGGGAACAAAGAGAAGTAGATCATGCTAGGCAGCAGCTCCAAGAAAAACTGCCTAAACGTATACAATTTGTTTGCTCCCCTATGTGCAAGATCATGACGTAGATGCTGCACACTAGTATATATTTGAGTTTCTGTTCTTTTGTTTGGCAATTTCTTTAGGGGCACACTTTTTCCTTTTGATTGAAGTGCATTGTGCTTAATTTGATTGCTGTATTTAGGATTTGGGTTTTTGCTTTCCTTCCTTGTGCTCCTTGCTAGTTTGATAATTTTTGTGCTAGGTTTTGAAAGACTCATTGTGATAAACCAGGATTCGATATTTTTGAAGTCAAGAAACATATGATTTTGAAAAGCTCTGCAGCCGGATCTTGCAGTTGAATAAAAATGTATGACAGATGAGAATCTATGCAATGCAATGTCAAACTTTTCCACGAAGCTGAGGGAACCAAAAACAGATCTTGCATCCATAAGAGGAATAGTTTTCCACGAAGCTGAGGAAGCAAACTTTTGACATTCAGATGCACAAGAGGAATAGTTTTACAGATATGGCATGTGTTAAACAATTAGAATTCAGGTTATTGTGTCCAAAATCTAGAGATTAAAATAAGGCTTATTTACAACAATGCTCTATGAAATTACGGTGAAATCTCATTTTGTCCCCATGAACTTAAATTGACCCATTTTCCCCGGATTAAACATTGGTGACCCATTTTGCCCGTTATCATAAATTCCATCCAAAACTATGTTAATAATTTTCCGCTTGGAAAAACCATTGGAAGCTTTCTTACCAAAGAGGGCCTTTTCGTCAGCTAGCAATCTTGCCTTTCTTTTCTATTTTGTTTTTAGTTAGTTTAACAGGTTGGCGGATTGGTGTATTTATTTTTGAATTTCATTCAGGCTTGTTCTCAAAATTTAAAGAGGATTTCAGATGAAATTGGGGTCAAGGACATGGGAAGATCACGGGAGAGAGGAGCCCAGGCTGGGCTGGGAGGGATGGTGTGGCCGTTTAACTGTAACTCTAGCTGCAGAAAAGGAAGGAGGTTTAGAGTAGAACATAAATTGATTTGGTTGATAGCATATGATATGAAATAATGTATACGAATATGTTTTTTGTCTTTTTGTCATATAGCCTTGTATATTTTTTATATATTTTCTTTTTCAATTTTTATTTTTTTACTTTTTGGTGTTTTGTTTACAGCCGTAGATTTCAAAGTAATCTAACGGCTTGTATTGTAGTAACTCAAGAAAGAAATGAAGTGACGTCGATTCTCCATCTGGCATGTGTGCACTGGTCCACCTGGCTGCTACAGTTACTGGGTGCTGAATTAGCCGTTAAGCAGGTTGTTTGGGCGGGGAGAGTTAGTTAGTGCAGTTCATAAGCTGGTGCTTCACGTTAGAGAGAGATAGCTATTTACTGTAGCAGCCGGTTTGTTCTGTTTCTTCTTCTGCTATAGGCTAGTTTTAGAGAGAGAGAGAGAGAGAGAGAGAGAGAGAGCTAGAGGTCATATCGCCTCCTCACTCGGTAGTCGGTCGGTGCGGCTGCGTTCGATGGATCAAGGCCAGGTACGTATGTGCATTTTCGTTTAAGTAGGTCTGTACTTGTTGTTATGTCATGTTCTTGATTTACGATTTTGTTAATCTGGTAACAAGTTTTTGATTCTTGATCATCAAGCTTCTCGCGGATTTTCGTTTGCGTAGGTTTTGTAGTTGTTGTATGTCATCTTCTTGATTTATGATTCTTGTTCATTTTTTTGCTGTTGTTTTCCTTATTTTGACTTTGATTTGATTTTTGTTTTCGTTTGGGTAGGTTTTGTAATTGTTGTATGTCATCTTCTGGTTAATAAATTTTACAGTGGGACTGTGGGAGGGTGGCTTTGTTGTTTTGTGCAATTTCGTTTGAGTAGGTTTTGTAATTGTTGCATGTCATCTTCTTGATTTATGATTCTTGTCAATATTTTTTTGGCTTTTGCTTTCATTATTTTGACTTTGATTTTTTCATTTTTGTTTGTTTGGGTCAAGGGTTTGGTGGATAGAATAAGTGAGTTAGAGGATGGAATACTTGGAAGAGTAGTTTCTCGCTTGCTGCTAAAACAAGCAGTTGCTACTAGTGTCCTTTCCAAACGATGGCGCTACGTGTGGTCGCATACTAGAACCTTGAACTTTCACGAGGCCTATAGGTTCCCTGAGGAGCCGCTCGAACCAGAGAAGCGAAAAGAGAAGTACGTGAAGTTCGTCGATCATGTTTTGAAACACCACACAGGGGGACATGTAGACTATTTTCTGGCTCTTTTTGATGTGGAAAAAGATAAATCTACAAATACAACAGTAAGTAAATGGCTCGAGTTTGCGGAGAAAGCCAAAGCCCAGACAGTTACGTTGATCATGTTGGTCGAGGGACTATACTCTGGTAGCATGGACTTGGCCTATGAGTCTGCCCACACATTTATGGGTAAATACGAGATGAAGGAGTGTGATGGTCTGACTGATATTGCACACCCTTGCAAGTACATGGGATTCAAGTTTCTAAAGTCTATCCATTTGATAGCGATCACCACGATGGGAGAAGCTCTGAATTGCCTGTTGGTAAACTGTGTATGCCTCCAAGAAGTTTCCCTTCATTATTGCCGAGGGTTTAGGGATGATAGGCTAAGAGTTGTTGGACCATCAAAGCAATTGATGCACTTAAAGATAGTGAATTGCAGTGCCAAAGCACTTGACATCAATCATCCAAACCTGGTATCATTTAGTTATGATGGAGATTATAAAACTTCCTTTCTCTGGAATGCACCTCTCCTTGCTGAGGTATCCCTGAAATATACTAGTGCTGTTTCTCATTTTGTTGTGTTCTCTGACCTTTGCTCCTGTCATCTTCATATGGAGGTGCTCAAGCTGAATTCAACCCTGGTTAGTGTATTCAAATATGTGTTGGTTTTTTCCTTTTTCTTGAATTAATATATGTTGGTGCCTTACCCCTTGTTTGGTTTTCAGTTCTACGGGAATCATGGAATTACAAAATTAGCAAATCTCAAACATTTGGAAGTAAAGATTGCAGCTGATGAGGATTGCTGTGTCCTTCTATTAGCTTCCTTCATTGAGGCATCTCCAAAGTTGCAGAAACTGGTGTTGGAGGTATATATATATATATATTCTTGCTTGCTAGCGAAACTTCCTATTTAATTTGTGTATAGATGGTAGTTCACTCGTGTACGTTGGAGTGTTTGACATTTTCAATGTACTGATGCTATTCCAGTTCCATGATCACACATTTCATTTGTATTTTGTGCCTAACCTCTCCTCTGTATAGATTAATGCTCCCTTTTACTGCAAATTCATCCGTTGGTCAGTTATTTCAAGCCCAGTAAAATTTATGACTTCTTGCTTTCCATTCGGTCGGTCCACTACCAGTTTCGTCTACTTTATGTATTAAAAATAAATATGTGAAATTTTCTCGGGTCACTATTTTTCCTGTTGGAATGATAATGGTCAAGAAGTCATCAAGGAGTGGTAATGGTATTTCGGTTCTCGTTGCAGTTGACAGGTATTTTGAGACCCCAACCTAAGATAGAAATCAAGGAAGCTCCAAAATTTTCCCATGGTTCCCTCAAGGTAGTGGAAGTGAAAAACTATCGTGGTCGCCCCGGTGATTTGAAGCTTGTGATGTACTTAATAGACCATCCTCTCGAACAAATTAATAGCGAAGAAATGAGAGAGGTCTCTTTTATGTATCGTGCTAGGGACGAGATGGGGCGAAAAGTGCCTAAACAAATAGAATTGGTAAGCCCCCACAATGTATTAAGTCCTTGTGCCTGCCTTTCCCCCGTATTTGGTATATTTGGGATTTTTGTTTTTGTTTCTTTGCTTAGACTCTGTTTCTGTTCCTTACTGGTTGCTTCTGGCCTTCTCAGGATGACCGTAATAACTTTCGGTTTGATCGTCCGGTGTATGTGTAACTGATTTTCCTTGGTTGTTCGGTTGCTGCGTCCGCCAATTGAAACTTTACAGAGGGAGGGAGGGTGGCTTACTTGAATAAAGTGTAGTGCAGGCAGACTGCTTAAATTGAAAGTTTCCTTTATGCTTTTTCGGTCAATTTGTTTCCTTATGTTGGTTGCTGTTGTTTGGCAAGTTTCCTGACTGAAGTAAGAGATGGGCTTGTTGCTGAATATGAGATTATGGGAACTTGCTTTGTCTCCAAGGCTGATAACATTCTTTATTAGGTCTAAATGAGGCAGTGAACAGAAAGAAAAACAAAGGTCACACTTTTTCTTTTTGATCCAAGTTCGTTGTGCTGAATTTGTGCTCCTTTGCTGGTTGTTTTTGACAGCCAAGTTATTGAGGAAATTGGGTTCCGTGTGCCAAAAACATGGCCATATAATTGAGACTTTGCTTTTCACGTGCCCTAAATGATAACTCTTGGTTTTCTTTTCGATGTTTCTAAATTAATTAATGGAGCTCTCTCTGGTATGGTAATTGGTAATTACTGCTCCACATGCTGTGACGGGTCAACAAGCTCAATGATGATGATGATGACTAATCTTGATTTAAAGAGATCATTGTAATGTAAATATTATTATACTAATCATGATGATCAACTCAAAACTTCAATTAGCAGTGATCTTTAGAGTTTGAATTGCTTTTCTGTTTTCTTTTTTATTAGTGGGTAGTGGTTAATTACGTACCAAAAAAAGAAGGCAATTTCTACTACAAATGAGCACTTTCTTGAATATTTTGTTTTAGATTTGTGTTAAGTATGACTTTTTTCTTATTTTTTAACTACAAAAATTCTAAATTAGTACAATGCAGATGACGGGGAATCGAACTCATAGGCAAGGCAGCAGAATTAAGGACAATTTCTTAGTATAACTATTATGAAAGAACTGGAGCAGTTAGTTTTTATTATTATTATGTAAACTCCATTCATTAAAATCCAACTCGCTATATGCTCTTCCAATACATGTAAATCCACAAGTTCTGTGTCTGTAAATAGATAAGAAAAAGAATACAAACAGTGCTGCAGCAGATGCCCACTTTCTACCTAATCCTTAATCAAAAAGCACAGTACATACTCGGTCTAAAAAGAAGGTCATATGATATTTTCAAAGATGTGTATGGTTTGATAATGACTGTCCCTGCAGGTAACTTGAGAAAAGAGTTGAACCTTTTTGAGCTACTGTAAGGGTCTTCATTAAAATACTAAATCTGCAAAACCCAACATAACCAATGTTAGATATCATGGTTAAAATTTTTTTTTTTGTTTATTAAAGATTTTGCAGATAACAATTTTGTAGATGTCCCAAAAGAGTTATCTCTTGCCAAGTTGGCTTGAAAATGGATTCTCTATGGATTTATGCAACATGTCCTGGAAGTTGGCCCCAATCTATATAAGCAAACAAGCATGGCAGGATCCAAGTGGGTCTCTGACTCCTTCAGTCTGCTAAGAAGAGAGGGTAGGTGGCTTTCTGGCCCATTTCTTTCAATTTTTTAAAAATTTTAAGTTTTTTATGGTTTAGAATGTAGACAACAGAAAGAGAATAAAAAAGCATGATGAGGGCACAGAATTTTGTGACTTGAAAACATTGGGTCATGTGGGTTGTAAGGAGAATGGGACATCATCCTACTTCTCCGAAGAAAAGAAAGAATCCAATCAATCCCTGCATTGTGTTTTCCAACTTTTGGGTTTGTACTTTATTATCTTTATGATTATAAAACAGAGTGTTCTTTTTATATCATGCAATTTGACTGTAGTTTTGATCACTAAATTGGCTAGCTTGTTGTCCCGATCAAAGGCTAATAAACTTTCAGCGCTGTCATCATTCTCTTGTTTGGGTCCACTTGGATCACAGAACATATCACATGCATATAATCTTTGTATACTGCAATATGGCAGCATTACCTATGTATAATCTTTCATTGGACAATCTGGGCCATTCGATGTGCAGAATGTTTTTAATTGGTTGAATTCTCATGTGTACAACATGTGTGTGTATATTGTACACAAAAATTTATCCTTCTTCAATCATCAATCCACGTAGATGCCTTGGGGAAGATTTGCAATCTCTAATACCGTCCTACACTGTTCTGTTCATATATATATATATATATATATATGAAGTTAGCTGGCGTTGAAATTTTTCAAGGACAGGTAGCTAAGAAATAAGAGGCGAAACAAGACCGACATATCCTCACCACTCTCTAGGCCATAAATACACCTCTGAAAGCTTAGTATAAAACTTTCAGCTTCCTCTCTTGGTAGTGGTTCAAGTGAGCTCAATTGCCTTAGTTTGCAATGATTCCACTGAGCAGACGAAGTACAAGGAAAGAAGTAAACAGAGGCTCTTGGACAGCAGAGGAAGACCAGAAACTGGCTCAAGTTATTGAAATCCACGGTCCAAAGAGGTGGAAGTTTGTTGCAACCAAAGCAGGTTCATTTTCAACACACACATATAAACATGTCCAAAGTCTATTTCTTTTTGTGTAGATATTAATATAGCAGGCTTCATTTCTGGTTTTTGCAGGTCTTAACCGATGTGGGAAGAGTTGCAGGTTAAGATGGATGAACTATCTGAGACCCAATATTAAGAGAGGCAATATATCAGACCAAGAAGAAGACTTGATACTTAGGCTTCATAGGCTCCTAGGAAACAGGTGAGCTTGCCCAAGTTCTAGTTTTTTTTTATCAATGATTTCTCTATAATTTCGATTCTTTGATCTTTTCATGTTGATAAAACATTTGGGTTGACAATTTTATGAATTGGGTACCCATTTGTTGAATTAAGGTGGTCATTGATTGCTGGAAGACTACCAGGTAGAACCGACAATGAGATTAAGAATTATTGGAACTCCCATTTGAGCAAAAAGATAAAGCAGAGAGAAAGACAAAACAGAGCAGTCTCAAAAGCAGAACAAGAGTCCTCTGACACTCAGACTATCCAGGTAATGGAGGTGAATGCTCTGACAATTGGAAGAGAAGATGCCTCCAAATGTGAGGAGAGCTTCAAGTCTGGCTTCAATGGAGATGAGTTTTTTGACTGCTCAAGTGATGAAGGGCTTTTGAACTTGGAATGGATGAATAAATTCCTTGAAATGGATGAGAGTTGGTTTACTTTGCATGACATTTAAGCTTTATTCCTCTCTTTTTTCCCCTTTTCTTTTTCAGGTTATTGCATTTCTGAGGCTTTTTGCTAATTCTAGGAAAATCCCACTTCATGTTTGTTCCTTCTGTATCTATTTTCCACTCTGTGAGGTTCTTTTTCCTTGAATTAACAAAGCATATGTTGGTGTGACAATCTTTATATGTTATTTCAGAATTTTCACATTTGCGGAATTGCTACTAGAACTGTTTTAGCCCAATTCAGAAATCTTGCAGAGAAGGAAGTGGTAGATTTCTTGAGTTTAATCAGATTGATAGACCAGAACCACTTATGGGTTTTGGAAAAAGCGACATAATTTCACTGTTTCAGACGCTGAAACGTGATAAAGAGATAAAAGGCTGCATAAAATGTCGGCTATTTAATTAATTCAGTAACCTTTTGTCTTCTTGTGGTTTGGTGAAACAACAGAATTCAAAACTAGTCTTATTATAAGTAAATGGATGTGACAAATTCACATTTACATGAAGATCCACCCTTTTTATTTTATGCAAATACATATTCAAATCCACCAGCTTCAGCTGCATCATCTTAAATTCTGTGAAGTATAATTGGGGCTCCGAAGGGTCATGCCCATGATGGGAGCATGAATGTAAGAGGGTGAGAGCTCAAAAGAGAAATGTTGAAGAATCATAGCCAGAGCCATCTTTGCTTCTTCTATCACAGCAAAAGTTTGGCCCAAACAAATTCTAGGGCCCCAACCAAATGGATAGAATGCAAATTCATCCTTTGATGCCTTGGCGGCTCCTTCAGCAAATCTCTCTGGGTTGAATTCCTCAACCTGCTCACCCCAGTATTTTGGATCATATTGGAGAAACAGAGTCAGCAACATAAATTCAACCCCAGCTGGGATGGAAAGCCCTCCTATATTGGTTTTCTTTTGGGTGTGCCAATATAGAACAGGCAAAGTTGGATATAACCTCAGAACTTCATTTAATATCATTGATACCTGCAAATAAATAAAAATCAGGTAACAAATTACTAAAAAACATTTTGGTTTGAATTGATGTTCGTAATGCTATTTATCGTCACGAAATATAGTACGTGTAACATTAAAAGTGCGAAAAACAACTTACAATCTTGAGGTGATTTATGACATCTAAATTAGGTGTTTTCTTTCCACACACACGTGGGACTTTCTCTTACTTTCTCTTGCCAGCTTGGATGCATGGACAATCATAGCCCAAGTGAGCCAGTGGGCTGTGGTCTCTTGGCCATCAAAGTAGAAGAGCTTGCACTCTTCTATCACATCCTCAATTGTCATGCCGTTTTGCTCTTGTTCTTTGCACTGTAAGAGTAAACCCAGCAAATCATTGGAACCCACTTCACCATTTTCCATGGTTAGCTCTTTTCTGCTAATCATACCCCTTAATATTGTTTTGATTTCATTGTCCAAGTTGTACCTCATCTTGTTCTTTTTAGTGGGTATGAATCTGTACAGAGAGAAAAATAGCCTAAAAATAACTTAAAATAAACTGCTATTAATATTCAATGGTAGTTTAAATTATCATTGTCAACTTATAATAAAGTAGCACCACACACCTTAAACCTGGGAAATAGAAACTATAATAGGCTTCAAATACTAAAGCAACTTGCTTCTTTTGAAGTTCAAGTATCTTCTTCCCTTCTTCAAAGCTGCTTCCAAAGGCGGTTCGAGCTATAACATCACCACCAAGATTTTGAAACTCTGGTGCCACATCTATTTCATATGATCCTTGAACACCAATTGAGCTTTCCCACCGATTGATCACGCCAGAACAACTGGTCATAAATGCAGGCACCATCCCCTGTTTTTTTCCCAATTGGTTAAAGCATGGTTTAAATTGATGTCACATATGATATGATGTGGTGGCTTCTAAGGGCATATTCAAAGGAGATGTTAAATTCAACGTGGCAATTTTAGCATGTAGAAAAAAATAGGAGAGACTCGCGCCAACCAATTTTTAATTAATTATTGACATATGCACCGTTAATTTCTCAAGATGGAAAGCAGGAGTTACGAGCCTTCTGCGTTTGGCCCATTGGTCTCCTTCCAAGGTAGAGACACCCAATTGCAGAAGATTGACAAGTGAGTTCAGTGGTGGCTTTATAATGTCCCCACTCTGGTCTGCTAATATCAACTTGATCAGCCATGGCTCTGCAACTATCAGCCTTGGCCTTGTATCAATCCACCGCAAACTTACTTTCCCTTAACAACTTAAAATGTCAAATTACAATCATACATGAAATCGCAAATTGTATGTGTGTGTGTATGTATATATTTATATAGTTATTGCCTGCCATAATTTTGGACCATTAGATAGAAAAGTGGGGAGACACGTGTAGCAATCTGGTGCTTGAGGGACATGGGTTTGGACCATGCTTCCTCTCTGGACATTTTGATCTCTTTCTTGTAATCATGGAAAAGCTTGTAAGTTCTGCCTTTGATCCCTTGCTGCCTCAACCGCTTCTCTAAGCTTTTGGGTCTCAGCCAATAGACTTGAACAACTCCCCCAAAAGAATACAGAATTAGAGAAACCAAAGAGAATATAAAAGTTTTTATCAAAACATAATCTTCCATTTTTGCTTTCTTGTGTTAATTTGCTGCTATGAAACTAAAGCTAGCTTGAGGAACTGAGAAACCAAAGTACTGATGTATTTATAGGAACATACATGAGATGAGCGGCTGATATTTGTGACACAAAAATGCAAAACCCACTACTTTTGACTTTTCATTATTGGAATCATAGACAAAATCCGGTATCACTTTTTTTTTTTTCTTGAGGAACAAGTTTTTTTTTTTCTTGATATACGTGAGGACCAAGTTTCAACAAGTAATTTCAGTGGTGACTCTGAGGACAAGTATTTGAGACAAAAAGAGGTCAATGATTAACGTGTCCTCTCTCCATGCCCTGGTCCCCAAGAGCAAAAGAATACTGTATAACTAAAAACACACGACCTAGATATAGAAATCTTTCTGGTTTTTGAAGGTCTTGACCGATTTGGAAAGAGTTGCAGGTTAAGATGGATGAACTATCTTAGACCCTTCGTCAAAAAAAAGACCAAAAAGACGACTTGATACTTTTGGCTTCAAAGGCTCCTTGGAAACATGTGAGCATGCCCAAGTTCTAGTTTTTGAACAATGTTTTCTCTTTAATATAGATTGTTTCATCTTTTCATGTTTATAGAACATATGGGTTGACAATTTCACGAATTGGGTAGCTATTGAATTAAGGTGGTCATTGATGTTGGAAGGCTACCAGGTAGAACCTACAATGAGATTAAGAATTACTGGAACTCCCATTTGAGCAAAAAGATAAAGCAGAGAGAAAGACAAAACAGAGCAGTCCCTAAAGCAGAACAAAAGTCCTCTGACACTAAGAATATTAAGGTAATGGAGGTGAATGCTCTGACAATTGGAAGAGAAGATGCCTCCAAATGCAAGGATAGCTTCAAGTCTGGCTTTAATGAGATGAGTTTTTTGACTGCTCAAGTGATGAAGCGCCTTATAACTTGGAGTGGACTGTGGATGAATCAATTCCTTGAAATGGATGAGAGTTGGTTTACTTCGTTCCTTTCTTTTTTCCCCTTATCTTTTTCTGGTTTCATGATACTTCTTATTATTGCATTTGAGGCCTTTTGCTCATTCTAGGAAAATCCCACTTCGTGTTTGTTCCTTCTGTTTTTATTTTCCACTCCGTGAGGATTTTTTTTTCCTTGAATTAACAAATCATATGTCGGTGTGACAATCCTTTTATGTTATTGTAGAATGTTCACATTTGTGGAATTGGTACTAGAACTGTTCGGCTATAACTCAGAAATCTTGCAGAGAAGGAAGTGATAGATTTCTTTAGTTTAATCAGAGTGATAGACCAGGCAAGACATCCTGGAACGTGATGATGTGATAAAAAGCTGCATAAAATATCGGCTATTTAATTAATTCAGTAACCTTTTTTCTTCTTCTTGTTTGGTAAACAACAGAATTCCATACTCAAACTGAAAACTAGTCTTATTATAAGTAAATGGATGTGAGAAATTCACATTTACATGAAGATCCACCCTTTTTATTTATGCAAATACATATTCAAATCCACCAGCTTCAGCTTCACCATCTTAAATTCTGTGAAGTATAATAGGGGCTCCATGCTGTGGCTGAAGGGTAATGCCCACAATGGGAGCATGAGTGTAAGAGGGTGAGAGCTCAAAAGAGAAATGTTGAAGAATCATAGCCAGAGCCATCTTTGCTTCTATCACAGCAAAAGTTTGGCCCAAACAAATTCTAGGGCCCCAACCAAATGGATAGAAGGCAAATTCATCCTTTGATGCCTTGGAAACTCCTTCAGCAAATCTCTCTGGGTTGAATTCCTCAACCTGCTCACCCCAATATTTTGGATCATATTGGAGAAACAGAATCAGCAACACAAATTCAACCCCAGCTGGGATGGAAAGGCCTCCTATATTGGTTTTCTTTTGGGTGTGCCTATATAGAACAGTCACAGGTGGATATAACCTCAGAACTTCATTCAATATCATAGATACCTGCAAAAGGAAAATTCAGGCAACAAATAGCTAGAAAACATTTTGGTTTGAATTGATGTTCGTAATCGTAACACTATTTATCATCACTAAATGTAGTACATGTAACATTAATCGTGCGAGAAAACAACTTACAATCTTGAGGCGATTTATGGAACCCAAATCAGGTGTTTCCTTTCCACACACACGTAGGACTTCTTCTCTTGCTTTCTCTTGCCAGCTTGGATGCATAGACAAGACAATCATAGTCCAAGTGAGCCAGTTGGCTGTGGTCTCTTGTCCAGCAAAGTAGAAGAGCTTGCACTCTTCTATCACATCCTCAATTGTCATACTGTTCTGCTCTTGTTCTTTGCACTGTAAGAGTAAACCCAGCAAATCATTGGAACACACTTCACCATTTTCCATGGCTTGCTCTTTCCTGCTGATCATACCCCTTAATATTGCTTTGATTTCATTGTCCAAGTTGTACCTCATCTTGTTCTTTTTAGTGGGTATGAATCTGTACAGATAGAAAACTAGCATCAAATTAAAACAACTTAGAATAAACTACTTTTAAAATTCAGCTGATACTTTAAATTAATGCCAATGAACACACCTTAAACCTGGGAAATAGAAACCATAATAGGCTTCAAGCACTAAAACAGCTTGCTTCTTTTGAAGTTCAAATATCTTCTTCCCCTCTTCAAAGCTGCTTCCAAATGCTGTTCTAGCTATAACATCCCCAGCAAGATTTTGAAACTCTGGTGCCACATCTACTTCGTATGATCCTTGAACACCAATTAAATTTTCCCATCGATTGATCAGACCAGAACAACTGGTCACAAATGCAGGCACCATCCCCTGGTTTTTTGTTTTTTCAATAATGTCACATATGATATGATGTGACTTGTGAGATTTTTAATTAAATATCGATATGATAGGTACCTTTAATTTCTCAAGATGGAAAGCAGGAGTTATGAGCCTTCTGCGTTTGGCCCATTGGTCTCCTTCCAAGGTAGCGACACCCAATTGCAGAAGATTGACAAGTGGGTTCAGTGGTGGCTTTGTCATGTGCCCACTCTTGTCAGCTAATATCAACTTGATCAGCTCTGGCTCTGCAACTATGAGCCTTGGCCTCGTTTCAAACCATCCCAAACTCACTTTCCCTAAACAAATTAAAATGTCACCACCATTATATCATCAATCACAATCATACATGAAAAATCTCAAATTGTATGGGAAAAGATAATATATAGTTATTGCTTGCCGTAATTTTGGACCATTTGATCGAAAAATGGGAAGACACGTGGACCAATCTGGTGCTTGAGGGACATGGGTTTGGACCATGCTTCCTCGCAGGACATTTTGATATCTTTCATGTCATCTTGGAAAAGCTTGTAACTTCTGCCTCTGATCCCTTGCTGCCTCAACTGCTTCTCTAAGCTTTTGGGTCTCAGCCAATAGACTTGAACAACTCTCCCAACAGAATACAGAATTAGAGAAACCAAGGAGAATGTCAACGTTTTGATCAAAATATAATCTTCCATTTTTTTCTTTTGGTTCTCTTTCTTGTGCTAATTTGCTGCTATGAAACTAAAGCTGGCTTGAGGAACTGAGAGACCAAAGTACTGATGAATTTATAGGTCCCCCCCTACATGGGGGATGTGTGGCTGATATTTTTGACAAAAAAAGTAAGCAAACCCCACGTAATTTTTAGTTTTGACTTTTCATTGTTGCTTGCTGCCCCCACCATGAATGGAATCGTAGACAAACTCTGGTGTCATTTTTATTTTTTCTTGAGGACCAAGTTTCAACAAGCAACAAAAGTTCTTTCATTTTCAGTCTTGACTGACCCCACGGGCAGCAAATTAATGCCGACTTCGAAGATAAAGTTTTTGAGACAAAAGACAGGACAATTATTAATAAAGTATGCTCTCTGCGTGCCTTGATCCCCGTGAGCCAAAGAATACTGTACAACTAAAAACACATTGCAATTTATGAAGATGTGACCTCAAATAAAAGGAAAGGTGGAAGAACCTTCTTGTTTAATGACCTTAGGTTGGGTTTTCATGGTCTCCCCTCCCCATCTTTAGTGGGCCTTTAGGCTCTAATGTGGCTAAAGCTCGGGCCGGCCCACCCTGGTCTTTGCTGTTTCGGGCACCTGGTCCATCGTTAATTTAGGTCATTGGGTCCTCGTTTGGTGAACAAATCAATTTAAGATATTAGAGAATAGAGAAATCAAATTTAGGATCTCGGATGAGATAAATACCCTTAATCATTTGACTTGCAAGCCTCTTGCAAACATATGAGATATAAAGCAACATATATTGAGTAGGTTCACTATGTTAACCAACTGGAATAACCCATATAATGTAATTTATAAGAAAGAAGATTCAAACTTTAGTGCAAGGATTCGGAGCAGTTTCACTGTCCTAACCAATTATCCCAAATCCACATCTGAAATTGTAATCTAATGGTCCCTAAATCAGACGTAGGTGATTGGTTTGGTTTGTGATCTTTTTGCTGCGGAGAATTTAGACAATCATTTTGGAAGTTGGAAGGGAGTGAGGGAGAAGAGAGCTGTTGTAACTTGTATGGTGGCGTATACAGATAGCCGTATGTCAATAATGCTACTTCTGTCAACTGAGCCTTTGCCAATTTTAAACTCTGGCCGTTGGATGATATTAGAGATCCGTACCGGACAGAGAATTAATGGTGGAGACAACTCGACAACAGGACAACGCGTACTCTACTCTTCACGTGAACCACAATACATCGTATGCTTCCAAAAGGGTGTCTCTCACTCTTCCATGTCGTCGTCGAACATATTATTTCAGATTGGAACACGTGTCTCACTGGGCCCGCATGAGATTTCCTGCAGTGCATGCTCAGTACACCCCGCTCCTCTCCGGTCTCTTCCTCTCATTTAATACCACAGCGACAGCAAGCATGGCCATCGAGGAATAATCCAAGGAAACCTGAATTAAAGCCTTTTTGCTAATATTTCTACAAAATAAAACTATATTTGATTTTCAATAGTTTGAATTTGAAAATTTATTTAATTTATTAGAAAAAAAAAAGTTATGAATACATTTTCTTGTCAAATAATTTCTTTATATATTTTAATAAAGTACTTTGGACATAATTTTATTTAAAATTAAAATATTTAATTCAAAATTAATTGGAATTAGTAGAGGTTTAAGATTTTTTTATTTTTTAAAAGTAAAATTATATTATCAATTTACCACATGATTTTTATTTTTACAATGCAAGTTATGATATTAGAGCATCCACAATGATGCTATCTATTTTTTAGCTAAAAATTTAAGAAAGCTATTTTAGGAGCTCTCTAAAAAATTTCAACTCCAACCATACTACATAATTTGGAGAGTCATAAATGCTATAACTCTTTTTTGATTGGTCCATATCTATTAAAATAATAAAATAAAAAATAGTTAGCATTAAATAAATGTTTGAAATACTCATTAAATAAAGTATTTTTATGATTCCTCCTTAAAATTTGTCTAAGGAGGTGGTTTAGAGAGCTCATTGTGAATGCTCTTAGAAGATAAAGAGATTTTCCTAATAATAAAACAGAAGATAAAGAAACTTGAATTAGTTTTCATGGTAGTCAATTTAAAAGAGAAGGATAATTAATTAGCTGTTTTTTTTTGGGGTCTTTTTTACCTGTCTTATTAATCTTTTCCTATTTATTTAATTATTGCAAACCAAGTAAAATAGTAATGTTTTTATATTTTTTTAATGAGAAATATTGTTAATTTCTAAAACAATATTTCATGAATAATTATATATATATAATTAAAATAAATAAATAAATAAAAACACTCACAAAGAACAGTAACCTGACTAGACGAGCTGCAATCTTATCCTCCCCTACAATTACTCTCTGCAGGTTCAGTCTGTTATGTGTTTGAGCCTTTGAAAAGATCTTTCTGTTAGGATTTCTTTCCCAAGAACAGCAAACAAGGGATGAAGAAGAAGAAAGCCCTAAACTTTACTCCTCAACTTCAAAAGTTCAAATAGCATTGCACCCCCCCACAACACTTTCAAATTAGAAACAAAAACTGTTCTTTTTTCTTGGAAATCTTGGAATAAGAAGATATGCAGTCTAATTTTGACATATCAGAGATTGGTAACCAGCAACACTCGATGGATATTAGTAATTCTTGCTCACCAATTTTGCCCATTTTCAATCATCAGAAGCAAAACCACCACCACCACCATTTCAATCAACAACTTGAGCAGCCTGAGCCATATCATATCAGTCACCTTGTTCATCCCACTCCCATTACCCACGACTTGTTTCAACGCCAGCATCTTCAAGCATTGCAGCAGCAAGGAAGGTTGCACTGGCAGCTGGGTCCTGTAAATTTCAAGCTTGGTCTCAATGAGAACAGTGAAAATGGAGAAAGTGCTCTTCTCGGCGCTGGTTTGTTTGATGATGAAAATGGAGACGACCCTCGATTGCTTCAGAGTCGAATGCATAACTTAGGATTCAAAAGTTGGCAAACCCATGAACCCATGTGGTAAAATTCTATTCATAACATTCTAAATGCACAGATTTACGTGCTTTTGTTGTACTTGTTCTTTGTTTTCTCTGTTTTTCATGTTGCTCCTTTTTTACATAGCACGTGTTTGTGTTAATGCCGCAGCTGGAAGCCTCTCGATGCAGCAATTCCCGAGACCAACAGAAAGCAGAAGGAAGCCAATGAAGGAGATATATGCAAGGACTTGGAGAACAAATACAAGCTCTATGGTGAGCTTGAAGCAATCTATAGCCTTGCAAAGATGGGCGAGGCTAATCAAACGGGCTCTGGCTCTGCACTCACTGGTGAAAACTCCCCTAAAAATGTAGACTTGCCTGTGCCTTTTTGTGATCCACATGACCTCAATGTTGCTCCAACTGCTCAAGTTAGGGTGGATAATGGGTCGGAAGCCTCCATCGGAGAAGAGTCTTCGCCGAGGAAGATTCAGAAGAGGAAGAGAAAGAGGACAATGAAGAAACAATTAAGTTCAGTGATTAGCTTCTTTGAGAACTTGGTGAAGCAGGTTATGGATCACCAAGAGAATCTTCATAAGAATTATTTGGAAGTGATTGAAAGAATGGATAAAGAGAGGAGGGAGAGAGAAGCTGCGTGGAGAAGTCAAGAGGCTGAAAACCGTAAGAGAGAAGCCATTGCCAAAGTCCATGAACAGGCTCTGGCTTCAAGCAGAGAGGCACTCATTGTTTCATACATTGAGAAAATCACTGGCCAAAGAGTCAATCTTCCTTCAAGGCAAGCCCCATTGTTGTTGCAGCCTGATAATTTAAATGAACCCCCAGTGGAGGAATTGACACCCTTCAAAATTGATCACACAAATAGCAGATGGCCTCAAAGTGAAGTTAAGGCATTGATTCTAGTGCGAAGTAGTATAGAATCAAAGTTTCAGGAACCGGGGGTGAAAGGGCCTGTTTGGGAAGAGGTCAGTGCTTTAATGGGTTCAATGGGTTATCAAAGGAGTGCCAAAAGGTGCAAACAAAAGTGGGAGAACATCAACAAGTACTTTAGAAAAACCAATGACAGTGCCAAAAAGCGTCCTCATAATTTCAAAACTTGCTCTTATTTTAATCAGTTGGATCAGCTGTACTCAGGAACACCCATCACCGCCCCTTCATCTTCGTCTTCCTATTATTCTAGTAACCCTTCAGCTAGCATGGATGATAACATTCCAAAGCAAGGTTTTTCAGATCTTTTGGAAGCCTTCGTTGCAGGGAGAGAGGCAGGAGTTGCACATAATCTGTCTAGTGGCAATTTTGAAATCTCTGAAATGGGGTCCAATAGGTTGGATTTTTGTGGCATTATTGGTGGTAAGGTAGAAGATGTGCAAGGAGACCTTGGGAAGGAGAAGGAAAACCTTGAGGATGATGAGAACGTGGATGAAACGGAAGATACTGATGATGATGATTCTGATGAATAAGGTAGAGCGTGACCATCAGACAGAACTAGAAAGGTACGTTAGATTATCACAGCCTGCAGTTCTTTTATGAACCTAGGAACTGAAGTGTTTTCAGATTCATTGACGTTCATTTATTATGCTATTTGCTTGAGTTTCAAGCCTTCTTAAGCAGTATAACTTTTTACTGCTGATGGAGTTTGAAGTTAAATTAAATGCTTCTTTTTAGGATATAACATATTGATAAATTTTGGAGGATATCTTACCATATGAAACTGTTGGCTAAGTCTACTAACTCATCAAATTAGTAACTCATATTCATATGTATGTTACTCAACCCAGCTTCCACCCACTCACATGTAACAACTGCAACCGGATACCAGCTCTGGACATCATTGTATCACAAAATGACCTGTCATTTTCACTTCAGTTGGTCATAGGTGCACGTGCAATAGAAATTCCGAGCAACCTCAATGACCACTTGTTTTACCAAAATGGGTAATGGTAAATGCTCAAGACACAGTTTCCATTTGAGGTAAAATCTAAAAGACATATCCTTTAAGATATCTCCCAGAAAAGGTTGTGTTGTTGGATTGGATTCTAACAAAACCAAGAGAGCTTGGTAAATACATTGAAAACATTGAATGGAGGATGTATGATTAGAAAATCTACTTGGCCATTTGAATTGGTATTGACATGCACAGTAATAGAAGAATCAAGGACCAAATGCTGCTTCAGGAAGACAATTGTCGTCTGCTGCCCAATCATTTAACCACTCCTGCAAGTTCGAAGGAGCTTCAGCAGTTGAGGTTGACATTAATGACCCGTTTCTGCACCCACTTGTGCAATCAAAAATCGTGGTATTCAACTCACAAAGTTTGGAGAAGTCAGTATGTAGAAATTCAGATATGCCAAGTTCGCCTGCATTAAGATCCCTTATGAAGTTCCACGTCATATCGTTCTCTCTAGTGATTGGTAAGAATCCATTGCTGGAATCTGATTTTACTTCCATATTCGTTGCTTCAACTCCAGAGATAAATGGTTCTGCTAATGTATTGGTAGTGCCAAGCTGTTCATTATTGGTGCAGCTTGTTGGTGTGAGTCCATTTTGGATGAAGTTTGAGTCCATTTTTAAAGATGGGACAGCTTTTTCGGTGTCCTTGGTCATTTTCCACTCATTTCTAGACCTTTCTGAGTTGCTTTCTTGTGCCTTTTTCCTTAAAACAGAGTTCCAGTAGTTCTTGATCTCATTGTCTGTTCGGCCTGGAAGCCTTCCAGCTATCAATGTCCATCTACAGGTATCCAAAAAAGGAAATGAAAAAAAAAGCATACCTGGTAGTATTAATAAACGAAGCAGCATATGAAGAAAAAAACCTTAACAGTTGCAATGCTAGTAGCAAGCAATGTATAGTAATTGAAGTGACAGGCCAGTACCTGTTGCCTAAGAGTTTGTGGAGCCTGATGATGAGGTCTTCTTCATCTTCTGTAATGTTCCCTCTCTTGATCTCAGGCCTCAGGTAATTCAACCAGCGAAGTCGACAACTCTTCCCACATCTCTTTAGACCTGCATCCAATAATATATGTTTCTAATTGAACAATGTTCTATCATTTTCATAATCATTCATGCATTGAAATTAAGGAACTTGTGCGTAAAGTCAAAGTCGGCTCACCTGTTTCCCTTGACAGTTTCCCCCATCTCCCTTCGCCGTGGTCTTTGACGTAATCTATGAGAATCTGGTCTTCAAGAGCAGTCCAAGCTCCTTTACTCAGTCCATCCTTATCACAACGATAGCTTCTTTCCATTTCTCTCTAACTTGCTCAGTTATGTCTCTCCGTCTCTCTTTCTTTCAGAATTGCACGTTATTGCGCCAGTGTCTTTGGAAGTGACTGATTTTATATAGATGGTTTGTTGTTCAATCTAATCTTATTATATGAAGACTTAGAAATTTGTGAATAATTTGTATTAACTGTTTAAAAACGTGGCTAGAATCAACATAAAGAATTGAACTTACTGCCAAATGGTATCACGTTTTAAGATTTCATGTCTAATGAGGTCATGATTAGCAGTGATACATGTACAGCCTTCTAAATCTGTACATGTATTGATTACAGATATAATTAGGATTATTCTTTATACGATTTTGATCTTCACTTTTACGATGTCTTTGATTAACGCAGAAAAACTCATGTAATAGATGAGAAAAACAGATTCAAGAACAACTTGGCATATTTCTCTAAAGTGTTATTAGGTGCATATATAAAATCCATAATTAACATGACAAGTATTATTTGGTTTTATACAAAAACAATTGATGTGGATTGCTTTTATACGTTCTCCTCTGCACAAAACAACTATTAGTGGTTGTAGTTTTTGCATCATCAGTTGGAATTGGATATATTATCTAGACTCTGACAAGTATATATGCATTATGCTTAATTATTCGCTAATTAAGTAGTATTAATTAGCTAAATGAGTTGTCTATGCAAGTCTTTAAGCTACAAAACAAAACAGGGGCCGGCTTGATTTTGATTCTCTGGCCCTCCAATGGGAATGTCGCAGATGAAATGTGATTGGAAGGCAAGGCATGCATGCACACAGAGAATCAGCATATTCAATCGAGCTGTTGCATTAACAATTATAAGCTCTGAATCTGAAACTGAGTGACCTCCTTGCAACTTGTACGTGTAGGTGGAGGCATCAGAACTGAAATTAATATTGTTTTTTTTTTTTGTCTGAATGTTTGGCTTTACTCAATCTAGAAATGCCAACAGAAAAGAAATAAAAGAAGGAAAAATAACAAAGTTGGTAGGGTTTGTGGCTGAGATAAAAGGTTTTTTTTTTCCCCCATTTGCAAACGAAACGACCACAAATTTCCAAACACGTAGTTGTTATATAGTTCTTGCTGTGAGGGACCCCAATTTAGTGGGTTTAGTAGATAGATCCAAGTCTAACACAGTTGTTATCGTCTGATCTCATGTTTTGTTGTATTTGTTCGGAGAGTCGAGGTTTTATTACTTATTTATTAGATTAATGATATCTCATTTGTCTTTGTAATAAGTTTGTACCACAAAACAAATGTTTCTTATGAATTACACAAAATAAAAAAGATGTCATTTCGCTAAATATATGTCATTGCAATAATCTAACAACTTAAAATATGATACATCATCAACTATTGCTGTTAGGTTGGAGTTATTTTTGTTTCTTCGCGTTCATGTCTCCTTAGTTTACAACAAGTTTCTTTTTCTTTTTTCCATTTTGGTCATCTCCTTCTTTCTCCCTGCTTCACTGATGTCCTCTTGGGATTCAATGGAAAACCGTTCATGGTTGTATTAATCTTCAAACCCAACCAAGTTAAAATAGTTTTTGGCTTTTCTTCGGTGTTTCATGTGTTTTTTAGCTTCAGAAGATGACTTTTTTTGTCGTGATCTCCTTCCCCTCATAATCTTTTTTTCTTTTGATCGAGAAAGTAATTTTCCTTCCCCTCATAATTAGATTGCAATGGATCTGTCTTTATTTTTACTTCAAAGAAATTACCTATTCAAGAATTTTGGAGTTTTTTCATTTCATTTCATTCGGATTTGAATATTCATTCAACCATGGGCAATTTTTCATCCAGAGAAAAGAAGATTACACGGAAGAGAAAAAAAAAAGGCTCTAAACTTAACATATGTTTAGAAAAGAATAAATTTTTTTGATGATGTGTCATGTTCTAAGGGGTTAGATTATTGCAACGCTCTAGATTTAGCAAAATACAGAGGCTCGGAGTCAGCCAAATTCTGTCATGCAAATGAGGTACTTTTAATTCCCAAGAAGCACTTGTACTAAAAGAAAAGAAATATATATATCATCATTCATTAACACGCGACTGATGCTAGTGCTACGCTTTTCTCATTTTTCTCATTTTTCTCTCTTCGAAAGCACGTTTTTGGTCTGAGCTGTTGTAAAGTAAGGTCCCATAGGATAGGACCACGTGACAGAATTTTCCTTGAAAACAAGAACAATCTGATGATAATTTTGATTATCTTATGAAATTGATTGAAAATAGGGACCGTGTTGATTGGGTTTGGACAAAATACATGGTACTGCGTTTGCCAATTTCAAATGTATTTGAAAGAAATGTGAATCACATTACTAATGTCATTGCATCCTTCTAGGTCAAATGTCAAACTGTTGCTTTTGCGCAATGTCGTTTGTCCTTTTCGAAGCTGTCGTTTATCGACACACGGAAGCCACCGTGTGGGCCTGCTATAGTCCATGATGATTTCAAAGATTTAAAACAGAACACACAAAATCCCTAGAGTAGGCCCACGTTAAGAAAGTCAGCTTATGGTGGGCCTTCATAAACTTAGAGCATCTCCAATACTAGTAGCAAACCAAACTTTTCAAATTGAAGTTCGTTAACCTACGTGACAATTTGAAAAGTTTTGTTTGCTTGCTACTTTAATATTTTTGTGCCCAAACAAACTCTTCAATTCAATTAATGCAATATTATGGAAAAGAATGAACAATATAAAAACATGTGTAAAATATCTATCTATTTGTTTGAAAATAAAAAATCGCGTTTTTAATTTTCCAAAGTAAATTTAAATGTTTTGAAGACACAAAGTCAACTTACAAGTCATGAAGAGATAGAAAGATGTAACAGCTTTGATGACTGAGTTTGACAATGTTGTTTGAGAGGGTTTTGATGATGTGACTTACCTATTTTAGCATTCAAATGTTGTTAAACATACTATTGAAGATACTCTTAAGACTCTTTAAGCTTATTATTTATTTTTATTTTGTTTTTTATTTTATTCATATATAATGTTTGTTGGCTATGGGCTCCTATTTACCTTGTATTTTGTATTTTATTTGTATTTTAATAGACCCATAAGAAAATTAGAGTAAATTTGAGAGTGAATAATCTAATACATCAAAATTTACTTTTTATTCATGTTCGAGGTCAAAAGTGTGAATTGCAATACCGTAAAACAATACCAATAATCCAATAGCATGAGTTGCTGCCATATTGGGATAGATGAGATTATTATTATCTTCCCTAATAATTGCTGATGTACAAGATGCCAAGTGGAGACAGACAAAGGCCCAGTTTGGGATTGCTGTCACTTTTAAAAAAAGTTGCTTATGTTGTGCTTTGAAAATAATTAGCTGTAAAGTAAAGCAGCTTCGTGTTTGGTAAACAATATTTTTAAAGTGTTGTTAGTACAAAAAGCAGTGTCAAAACCGTTTGGTAAGTTTTAATATAAAATTGTTGTAACTGTGAATAATGACTAAAATAGACATGATGTTAAAAGTGTTATGTACTAATCATGTGGTAGTAGTGGTAATGATGGAGTGGAGGTGGTGGTGGTAGGGATGGCGCTTGTGGAGGTGGTGGTAGTGGTAGCATGGTGGTGGTGGTGGTGTTGGTTGTGGAGGTGGTGGTGGATGTGGATGTTTTGAATGAGGTGGTGGTGGTGGTGGTGGAGGTGAAGGTGGAGTTGGTGGTGGTGGTTGTGGTGGTTGTGGTGGAGGTGGAGGTGAAGGTGGAGTTGGTGGTGGTGGTGGTGGTGGTGGCGGTGGTGGCGGTGGTTGTGGAGGTAGTGAATGTGGTGGTGTAAGTGGTGGAGTTGGATGTGGAAGTGGAGGTGGTGTTATTTTTTAAAATGAATGATGGTATTTTGGGAATTAAAAAAATTCATTAAAGGTTCATCTCTGCTTCTTTTGAAAGCAGCTTTGAAAAGCAACCCATAGCCTGCTTTTAAAAGCTGCTGTCAAAAGGCCACTGTTTTTAAAATAATCGAGATATTTTATTTTTACCAAACACCTAAAACTGCTTAACTTTAAAATGAAGCAGGTTTTTGGCGAAAAAAAGCAATCCCAAACGGGGCCAGAGAGCGGTCAGTTTGATTGACTGCAATTTATATTATAAATAAAAAAAAAAAAAAAAAAAAAAAAAAAAAAAAAGACAAGCTTAGGAGGAGGGGGTTCTTAGTCAGCTTAGTTTATTTGAAGTAATCTAATCCACACAAACTGTTGAACCCAAAGTGCATGAGATTCCATAGAATCGAGCTAGCTAGGTTATGCTTATGGTCAACATTATTATTAATTAATGGTGGAAACAGTCATCATCTCCCATCCAATCCTTGAACATTTCCTCAGAGAACAACAGAGGTGCATGATGAGACGATGCCCATTTGTAGTTCTTTGAGCCCCCATTGTTGTCGTCCAACTGATGGCATATTTTCCAGAATTCTGAATCTGGGTTGTTAATTCCAGACATCAAAAGCTCCCCGACGTCGAAATCCAACATGAGGTCCTCCGAAGCTGTCGTGTCTTCTTTTTCAGAGCTGTAGTAGTTGGCAGCAGCCGCCTTCTTCTTCGCCACCAAGTCCCCGTGATTTCCATCGGCTTGGTGCTGAAAGATGGCTTCTTGTTGTGCAGGTGGGGTGACAAGAACCTTGTTGAATCTTAATGCCTTTGTACGGACTGCAATGTTGGTCGACGGTTGAGTTTTATCTGTGGACGTTGGTAATTTGGTGCTCTTGTTTCTCTTCTTCTTCGTGTTGTCGTTAACAGCACCAGAGGACTGCTTTGTTTGTTGATCCGTACAGTTCACCTTCTTCCCTAAGGTTGTGTTCCAGTAGTTTTTGATCTCATTGTCTGTTCGCCCTGGGATTCTCCCTGCTATCAGTGACCATCTGCAAATTAATTAACACCCAACATATTAAGAAAAAAGAAAGAAGAAAAAAAGGGTGAGAAATTATAATGAGTAGAAAACCTGTTGCCTAATAGCTTGTGTAGCCTAATGATGAGATCCTCTTCCTCCTGAGTTATATTTCCCCTTTTGATATCAGGTCTAAGATAATTCAGCCACCTCAGTCTGCAGCTCTTTCCACATCTCTTGAGACCTGCACCAAATTCACATCTTGTAAATTTAATGAACATTATTTATAAGGCTTGTTTAAATTGACAAATTATTCCTGCACTGCACTCACCAGCTTCCTTTGGGATCTTTCTCCATTTTCCTTCTCCATGGGTTCTGATGTAATCTGTGAGAGTTTGGTCCTCAAGAGCAGTCCAAGCTCCTCTGTTCAGTCCTACCTTAGAGCAACAAGGAGTTCTTCCCATTTTTCCAAACTTTGGCAAATTGGCAATCTTAATTATTCTTATCTTATATATGCCTGTCTTTTGCAAAAGATATATAGCTATACCTTTTCATATGGGATCCTGAGATAGCTATTGGGGGATGAAGTGATAGATCTTGGTACAAACCAATCTTATATATAAGTGAATCTTTCATTAAATAACTTAAATTAAGATGCGTTTTCAACTTGGAATTAAAAAAATCTCCACCATATATGTATAAAAATTATAACCAGTGGCAGTGCTACGTACAATAGTTATCTATATTGACTGCATTGGGCTTTGCTAGGACTAGGACTTAATCAATCTCACCCTTTTTATTTTGTTGTTGTTTGCAGTAATTATATTTTTGTTTTTGTGTCTAGAAATCTTACATTAAAGTGTCGGTGAAGTCAGTGGGATATAGTTTAATTGGTTGAACTTTTTCAATACCGTTCATATGGGCAGAGATTCAAAACCCTCAAACACCCAATAAATATGTAAATAAATCCCCTCCACCAATCACTTAAAGTGTCTGCGAAACAAAGAAAAAAAAATCTACAATGTGCTGTCAAAAGCACATGTAGAATAGCAGCGAAATATAAATGTAGTCGTCCCTACATGCTGCGTTATGAAAACAATTAATATATATATATATATCATTTCATCTCGTCGCCCCTACATAGATTGTGGGGTGGTGGTGGATGGATACGTGCCTTAAGGGTTGTTTGTTGTTTTTACGCGAAGCTCTAGGTCCTGCTCTCTCTGCATCAATGGGTGCGAGTGCGACTTTGATATAATTACAAGGATTAATTAATAATATTGTATGGAATTCACGCACGTTGGTCAGCATTTATCTGCCCTATATCTTGGTCATGGACTCATGTGCATAGATTTCTACTAGCCACGACAAAAGGGTAGAGATATTGATGAAGGATGAGTCCATGCCATTTGCAATAACTTTGAAGCAAACGACTGTCTTATTGGTCAAGCAAGTTGGGTGGTAGAGAGGGGTCCCTAGCAAGCAGGAATTGAATTGCTCACCCTTTATCAGGAAATAGTTTTTCTCATAATTGACTTATCCCATTTCCATTTCTAGCGGTGGATCCACCAGTTTCTAACAAGCTATTTACTCCTTTCTGTAACTGCCACTTCTCCCCCACACTCAATTTAATACCTCTCTCTCTCTCTCTCTCTCTCTCTCTCTCTCTCTCTCTCTCTCTCTCTCGTTGGTTCGTCGGTTTGTTCGATTGGTCTACATATTGGCATGGGAATAACATATGGGAGAATAATGGCATGAAGTACATATTAGTGTATTTAATTTATTTTAGTAACAATATTACAAAGTTGATGATGAATCGATGAATTGGCATGAATCATTAATGTGGTAGAGTGCGCAAAATTGAATTGGGAAGAGACAAGAGAGGTAATTATTGGTACAATTAACGGTTTTGGGGGCGCATAATTGCATTATAATTAAATCCAAATATCATACTCAATAAGAAAAACGTAGCAACTTTTGTCGTTCCTCAAACTAAGTGAGTGGAGCCAACTTTTGTTTTTTCTTTTAAGAACTTAATTGTCCAGATTCTAAAACCATTTGCATTAGATGACAATAGAAAGAACCTAGGATCCTAGATTACATCATCGATTAAGAAAAACTAATCCAAATATGATACTCAATAAGAAAAATGTAGCAAAGAATATACATTTTAACTAAGTGCAATTTGTTAAATTCAAACAGACGGGTTAGCGGCCCATTACTAGCAACACCGATATTATCATCAACTTAACCACATGTTTAGTATGTATGGGGTTTTATACAAAATGTCTCTATATTATTAAGAGTGGAATCATTTATTATATGGGACTTTCTAATTATTTAAGTGTCCAATGTGAGACTTTGTGTATTCTTCAATATTCCTCCTCACGTGTGACCACGTTTTAGTGTGCCACACTTGCAACCAATTCTACATCGATCAGTTATTTTATTTTATTTTGGGGTTTGTTTGATTTTGATTCAATTTGGGGGTTTTTTGTTTGATTTGGGTTTAATTGGGCCTACTCAACCGACCCACTCTGATACCATCTTAAGATTTCAGAATGACGAATCCTTAGCCTACTACTAGCAACATTGATATTGGCCCCAACTTAATCATCTGTTTAGCAAGTGTAGGGTTTTATACAAAATGTCTCGATGTTATTAGGAGTTGAGTCATTTAGGCCCAGTTTGGGATTGCTGTCATTTTTATTTAAAAAAAATTGATTATGTTGTGCTTTGAAAATAATTAGTTGTAAACAATATTATGAATTAATAATGAGACTTCCTATTTTATTAAGTTTTCGATGTGGGACTGTGTATTTTTCAACACAATTTCCTGAATTAATGTTTGATCAATCAAGCATCAGCAACATCGCTTCCACCAGTCTTAGCTTTCAGAGCTATAAAATAGTTGCTTCCATCATGACCAAGAATATGGAATCTCTCTAGGATAAATTGCCCTTCCTTGTATTTCTGGCTTTTCTCCAGTGCAACCTCAAGTTTCTACCCCACCATTGAGCCACATGAAACACAAGATATGTTAGCAACAGTATGTAATCATGTTATCATTCTCTCCAAGTGTGACATTTACAACTTTATAAAAAAGATAAGTCTTTCCATGTCTGCAGTGAAACGGCTTAGAAAGTATGTCATCAACAAGAGCAAGATGGGATTGATCGCAAACAGCCTTCACGTGTCGTCACTCTACGCCTTTAAGCTTTTTAAATTCCTTTTCTGCCAGTTATAGAGGGAGAAGAATAGCAACAAAACCTATCAATTCATAATGTGTTGCACACTCTCCTATTTTCTTCTGTTTTCTTTGTTTGACTGACTTTCATTTATTTTTTTATGTGGGTTTTTGTTTTGAGAGCATTTGAATCTATTTAAGTGATTTTTTGGTTATTTTTAAAAGTTTTAAAAAATTGATATTTATGAAAGTGAATTTTGACTATTTTTTATAAAAACTCATCTACTACAACGTGCCGAACTACCGTGTTAGGCTGTTATTATACGTCGTCGTGTTGATATTTACGCCTTTAAATAAAATGGTATAAAAGTCAATGAGAGACGATATCAAAACATGAAGCACCTGGAAATTCTTTGCCCGTGTTATCGTCACACCATCACATAGACTACAAATCATCTATAATTTATATATATATATATATATATATATAAATCTATCTATTTACGTGCGACAATAACAGAGAAATAGTGGAGAAGGGGTAGTATGGAAGAAAACGAGAGAGAGAGAGAGAGAGAGTAATAGGATAAATCAGAAATTTTTTTTTTTTTTTTTTTTTTTTTTTTTTTTTTTTTTTTTTTGTTGTTGTTGGGTGATCCTTTTATCTAAAATATATCGAGAAACAAAAGCAGTGGGTTTTTTTGTTAGGATGCCGCTGGCCCAAACAAATATATGATTGTCCACCCAACTCTTTTATGTGGACTATAAAATTTCAATTTTGGGAAGGGGGCCTATGGTTGTAGGGATTACTGCCTTTGGTCAATAAAATAAAATATAGACCAATGGCCAGTGGTTTTTTTTGGGTTGCAATTCAGAGATCCCAATAGCCAATTTTGAGGTGACGAACGTTTATGGATAGGAGACGTGGGGAGAAGGGTTTTATGGCACTTAAGCTCTACATAAGTAAAGTTTATGTTGCAAAGAATCCTATAAATTTTAAATTTCCTCTCTCCATTAATCCAAAAACCCCACATTGCAAAAGGTATACTTTAACATTGGACTTCATTAAGCAAAGTAAACACATACATTCACAAATTAAACCATTAATATTTATCTAGATGACTCGATACAAAGTCATGATGTGCAAGTTCCACATCACATATATCTACAACACGTAACACGTTATTACTGTAGAGTCTTATAAAACAAAGGTACATGTCTCGAAGTTCAGCCAAACAAATTCCGCCATATGTTTAATTTCTGAAGGGCATAGAACACAAGTTTTCCCCCTACCTAGGCAGCTAATTTATTCGGTGCTACTATAATACAAGATTTTGATAATGCCAACACCTACACATATGCTTATTTTATTACACGATCCATTCGTCAGCTAAGTCCGTGACAGCAGCCAGCTGAGCTCCAAAATCTGCCTCCACGTCATCGTCATGCATGGCTTTTGTACTAGAATATCCTCCCACTATGACCTCGGCACACAAATTGCTCAGATTTGAAAAGTCAGTGTCTAGAAACTGTGAAAGGCTCATTTCCCTCGTGTAAAAATTCATCCACAAGTCATGAGAAGAATAGTCTTCTTCTTCCCTTGTTGTCGCCAATGACGATAGTGACCCTTCACTGCATTCTGATTCGGCATTCTGATTATTGTATTTGGGGACGTTGCTTGATTTGACTTCAGCTTTGGACTGTTGTTGTGGGTCTGAGGAGGCCACCTTGGATGGTCTACATGGTACAAAATTGTTTGGCGGTGGTTCCTTACACAAGTTGGTGTTCCAGTAGTTCTTGATTTCATTGTCTGTTCGCCCTGGAATTCTCCCCGCTATTAGAGACCATCTATACAAATCACAAACTATTAGAGGTCCTGTGTCCGAATATCCCCTTCTCCAGTATCGCTTGTGTTAAAAAACAAAAAACAAAAAACAAAAAACAAAAAACAAATGATTTGAAGCAATTAGGACAAGAGACCTGTTGCCTAAGAGTTTGTGGAGCCTGATAATTAGGTCTTCTTCATCTTGTGTAATGTTGCCTCGCTTGATATTCGGCCTCAGATAATTCAACCACCGAAGCCTACAGCTCTTCCCACATCTCTTAAGCCCTGCATTCAATCAAACAAATTAAACCACCAACAATATTCCCTCCGATGTAAATAATCAGAATTGCCATTAAGTTTGAAAAATAATCTCTCTCAATCTGACCTGCTTGTTTCGGAACGCTACTCCATTTGCCTTCACCGTGAGCTCTGATATAATCCGCAAGCAACTTGTCTTCTTGAGCAGTCCACGGCCCTCTCTTGACTCCCTCCTTTGAACAACACGGTCTTCGACCCATAATTGGAATAAAGTTTAGCCTGTCTCTATCTCGGCGACATTGTTTCCTACCGTGTGGGGATGTGGTGGGGGCGTCCGCGTCGTGTACTCATTCTTATAGGCAGAGAGAGACCCAGCTGCGGGTTTATTTTTCAACAAGATCACTACAATAGAAAGCTTTAATTTTAATAATTAGAGAATTTGTGCTGTAAAGAACCACCTCTAATTATTATTAATTACTATATAATATATAGAGATTAATTATTTAGCAAGGGGTCATGTGACGAAGGACATCCGTAAAGTTTATGACAAGGCGGGGCCGAAGATTCATTCAACTACCATTCCAATTTCCAAATAATTTTTTTTGAATCTAACTTTCCCCAGTACGGTCTTACGAATTTGAAAGTTGGTTGCTCTTTTTTTATTATAATGTTATTCAAATCATTAGTCTTTTTATTTTCCTCTCGTGTGAACGTACAAAAGGAAATTAAAAAATTAATTTAGTCCAAAGCTACACTCATCACCATTTGAATATATTTTGATCATGGAACGATAAGTTTCTAGAAGCTTAATTAATGAATGCGGAGCATATAGTCATAAGATTCCCCAGTTGTTCCAACTGTAGGTATAAATTTACTGTGCTTCTTACCCTCCCCATCTGTGCTCTGTGCTCTGCTCTGCATATTTCATGACCCCGATATCCTCTCGATGTCGATCGATCTCATTCACAATAAATACGGAGCCTATAACTTATGGCTTCTTACCCTATGAATGTGTCGGTTAATACCATATATATATACCTTATCAGTTTGCAGCCTTGCAGGTCTCCATATTCATCTCTGACAAGTAGCTAGCTACAAAGTTTAAGTTTAAGTACGTAGAGCCTGATTGATTAGCTAGTAAACCAACCAACAGTCGATAATAAGCCAAAGAAAACAAACCATGCAAAAGATTTAGACGACCCAGCTCACAAATTTCGTATGCTTTTCTTAGCTCACAAATTGGATCACCAGACCGAGGTACATGTTCCTCTGCATCTTCGATGGACTCAAACCCTAGCTATAGCTCTGCGTTGATGGACATATAGTATAATATTGGTACGCGAGTTCCACATGACATGACAGATTCTTTGACTTTGAGGAATATTCCCACAAGTCACATTCATATCATGTTAATATTGTAAATGGAGGAGGTTTTTTTTTGTTTCCGTTTTTCATTAATGGAACTGATCATTAATATTAAAGGGACGTAAATTCGTAATGGTCCTATCCTGGTGGGCTTCTCCAAAATTATCTGATTTGTACGATGTATTTGATATTATTTCTTTACCAGTTTTGGTACGATATCAGATATTGAATATAATCAGTTTTGCTTTTTTTGGTCTTGAGATCGGGGCCAACAATAAATAATAATGTACCTAAAAGATAACCAAGGAAGAAGGAGCTGCCCCCTCAAACACCACCAAAACAACTTCCATTTAATATTTCTAATTGTATTTGATATCCACACCACGGCTATACATAAAATTTAAAAACCTAGGTGGCCGAACAGTATAAACTAGTCCTATTTGTGTAGGGTAGTGGGTGAAGACGCGGACGCTTGCACCTGCTCAACTTACAAGTCTTAAACACAGTGCCAAGGATTGAAAGTTAGCTAGATGATATGACATGAGAGAGAGAGAGAGAGAGAGCCCCCATCAAATTAAGACCGTGCGAATATTGAAAGCACAAGCTTTCAGTCTTTGATAATGACACCTTTTCCTTTCCTTTCCTTGCCTCTTTTTTTTTCATTATTTTTTCTAATATTTTATTTATATTCAACCAAAACATAATAATAATAATTAACTTATTAATTAATCGGTAGTCCAAACAAGTCTCGGCCTCCACCTCATTAAAATTTGTAAACTTATATAACATAATTCGGGGAGAAAAAAAAGAGATCAAGGTTGACAAGTTAGTTTATTTGGTAATCTATGACAAAATTTCAATTTGAAAATTTTTGCTTTTAAAAAGTTTTTGGGTCCATTTTTCCTTCATCTTCCCCTTTGTTGAATTTCAGTTGAGTCGCGGACGGTCATATTTCTAACCTGTCAAAGTTAAAGAACAATCCACATGTGCTCATTGGCAAACCCATTCAGAATTAACCCAATATAGTAATGGACAATAAATCAATGGTGTCGGCCATCAAAACCTCAATTAAATCGGTTTTCACTTATTCTGACAGAGAATTTTGTTTTCTTATATATTTTTGAATTAGGAGAAGTGGTGGTATTCTTTTCTCTTGAGTGAATTTTTCTTCTTTTCGAGTTTTTTTTATGGTAAAATTTTAACGATGCCACATTTCGCAATTAAAACTTCTTATGTTCGTATTCGTTTTTTCGGCTGTTTCATGTTTAGTCAAACTTTGTTATGTAAAGATATTAGCTCTGAGGCTGCTAGCATTAAAAGAGACAACCCTAAAATGGGACCAAATTCATAACCTGTAAATTAGGTACGGGCACAGACGTGTGAAAGTGAAACAATCCCTAGCTAGCATAAGAATTTGAGACCCGTTTGTCTATCGACATAATTTCAAATTCCAATTAATGACATGTATCCAAATTTGGTAGCATTATTTTTATAAAAAATTGACCGATGTATTAAATCTATTTTCTGCACGACTTATACAGATATATTCATTGTGTGATAAAAATTTGATATATCGAGTGGCCCTAAATAGAGGCTGAATTATTATTATTTCTTTTGGTAACAGAGGCTGAATTATTTTAATTTTGTATATACGAGGCGCATGAAACTGGTGCTAAAATAATTCTAGCTAATAATTATTTTAATTTCGTATATATGAGGCGCATGAAACTGGTGGTAAATTTCCCCCTCCGTGCTTGACGTGGAAGTGACAAAGTTGGTAACCAGCAATATAATCACAAATTATAACTTCTGTTTTCAGCCCTTGTGAACATCAATACTGTATTGTGTCCGGGTCATGGCATCCATTGTGGTGTTTGAAATTCTAAGTCTCCAAAATAGCTCATGCTGCCTATAAGGTTGTTTTTGTAATTCAATAGCACGAGTTGACAACATGTATGATCAAATTAGAATAATTTAACTGGTTCTTTAAATTTATTGACTTTTTGATGTAATTACAGGCCAGTATGTCTTAGGTTCAAGGATTGGTACCAATTGGATCAACGTATTACCAGAAAATTAGAATGACCTAAAGAAACAAATGTCAAAGAAATTGTATGGGGACTGATCTCAATCCCGAACAAAATCAATCTCCTTGGTTTTCAGTACACATGACATGTTTTTTTTGTCATGGATCACATTAGAAAATGAAGTTGCATAGTTGTAGGTGATAGAAATTGCGTGTGATATTCTGCCACTGTCTATAAAATTCACAGCGCAACAACACGTTGTCTCATTTAAAGAGCAGGAAATAATAATAACTTGAGATATCGAAAATCTTGAGCACTCGGATATTGAAATAATTTAGGCAAATTAAATATATTCTAACAATTCGATATAAATGTGAAAGAGAGAGTGCGTGTGCGCGCGCATGCATATGATAAGCCCTGGAGCACCAAATCCGTCCGTCCAACCACACAACTTGTTAGACTTTTATTGGCCACCTCATCAGTGGCTTGGCCTTTTTCCCCTAAAAAAAACAAAAAAATAATATTTCTCTCAGCAACAGTCAGTCTCTTGCCTCCGGTAGCCTTCTGATTTATTGTGTGGGGGGCTATATAAAAGGGCACAAGTCCTCCTTCCTTTATTCCCTGAGAGGAAGAGAGAGAAGGGGAGATCAAAATGGGGAGAAGTCCATGTTGCTCCAAGCAGGGATTGAACAGAGGGGCATGGACTGCCCTAGAAGATAAAATACTAACTTCTTACATCAAAGCCCATGGTGAAGGCAAATGGAGAAGCCTCCCAAAGAGAGCTGGTACTTTGCTTTTTCTGCATTTTTACTCTGTTTTTTGGTTCTGCCTTTTACTCTGTTTTTCAAAATTTTATGGTGTGTAACATAATGCAGGTTTGAAGAGATGTGGGAAGAGCTGTAGACTTAGATGGCTAAACTATCTGAGACCAGATATAAAGAGAGGCAACATATCCGGTGATGAAGAAGAACTCATTGTCAGACTCCATAACCTTCTTGGCAACAGGTGGCTCTCTCTCTCTCTCCTCTCTCTCTCTCTCTCTCTCTCTCTCTCTCTCTCTCTCTGTGTCTGTCTGTCTGTCTGTCTCTCTCTCTGTCTGTCTCTCTCCCACAACCACAATTACATTATTTTTGTCTTTTTACGAGCAATAGTTTCTGAACTTTGGTTCTATAATTGTACAGATGGTCTCTAATAGCTGGAAGGCTACCGGGGCGAACAGACAATGAAATCAAGAACTACTGGAACACAACTTTGGGGAAGAAAGCTAAAGGAGAGCCAACTTCCACCGGATCATCAAAAGAAACTTCTCCACCCCCAACCAAATCCAGAGCCAAAAGGCGAGAAATCGAGTCGAAAACAACGAAACCATCAGCAGCAGCAGCCGCAGCCACTCGGCCTCCAGTAATAAGAACCAAGGCCACAAGGTTGACCAAAGTTTTAGTCCCAACAATCCCTCAGATTCCTAGCGATGATTATAATCAGACGGCCAATGCTTCATCTTCCACAAAGCCATCAGAGCTCCAAGCTCATCAAACCCAGTTGACAGATCAACAAGTTAATGTAGGGGATTGCACTAACAACTTGAACAACAACTATGGCTGCACCGATGAAGATGATGATATTGAAGCTAAGGGTGGGTTCTGCAATGCGTTTCAGTCTCTGCCACTAGACGAGGCTATGATCAATGCCACGTGGACGGGTGGAAACGATTGTGATCTTGAAGACTACGGTGCCACATTGGATTTAGATTCTTTGGCTTTTTTGCTTGACTCCGAGGGATGGCCATCGCAAGAGAATATTTCCTAAACTAATTTGAAATAATTAATAAGTAAATAAATAATACAAGAGTGTGCGTGTGTGACTTCTGCAAAACCATTAAACTTGAAGGAGATCAACACACTAATTAATTACGAGTTCCTAATTAAGCTTAGCAGCTTGCTTAATTAACTAATGGACAGCTAGCTTCTGTAGTTCATATTTCATATTGATCTTAGTTGTTATGCGCTTTATGGTTAATTAACCCTGCTTGTAATATAATTACCATGGGTCAATGAAGACTTGCATTTCTTAAATACATGTTGCCCTCGCACCTGACAATAAAAAACTCTCTTAGCAAAATAAAAAAAGACGATTAAAAACATCAAAGAAAACTTATTCGGAAAGCTGGTAGCATGTCACTGTTGTGCCCTAAAATGATACTAAACTTTTTTGCAGGGTTCCAATTCACTGAAAACCAGTCTTTGTTAACCTGTCAATTAGTCAATATATTATGTATATATATATATATTTTTTTTTTTTTAATATTTGTAATGTATAGTTAGACCAATAATTTGAGAGGTAGTTGCTGCTTAGGTCATTAATCATCTTTATGAAGGACTTGGTGCACTGTGCACCAGTACATGTGCCAAGCTGCACAAATATTATGAGGAATGCGAGGCGTACCATATTTGCAATATCACATAATCAATATAATATGGTCCACTTATATTAAACAGGTAGTACACAATGTGGTATGGCTATTGCCCGAACATACCTAGGTCTTTTTTATGTATGATGCCATTAATTCATGGGTTCCACCATGAAATAAGTTTTGGGTGAAAATATTTCCTAAAGTGACTAAAATAATTAAGAAACGAGAAACATGACACTATCAATGTGATCAAAATAATGAAAGCTTGTATTTGAGGAAGTGAGCAAATGGGACCTAAAGTCTCCCAATTCCGTGTGCCAAATGTGCGGAGCATATGCCATATACAATACAAGCATGAGCCCTACTAATTTGTCCTCTAAGAATTATGTTTTTGTCCTTATTTGTTGTTTGTTTTTTTTCTTCTTCTTCAAGCCACACTAGCCAGCATGTGCTTTTCAAGATTGTTAATTTGTGACTTGTGAGCTTTGAATTTCTGGTAGCTTGAAATGGGGTAGGTTGGCTTGCCACGAATTAATATCTAATTTTCACCACTCGATTAAAGTTCGAGGTAGGTAACGAAATATCTCTCCAAAGTGATGCATTAATATATATGCTAACTAAGCCTCCCTTAATCATGATTTGCAACTTGATTAATCATGACCAGAAGAAGGGGTTAGGTTATGGGTGGAAGCAGATGAAATGGTAATGGAAAATAATTGCATGCATGCCCAGTGCACTCATTCATTTTTATTGCATCAAGCTTTTGCTGCCTTTCATAATTATTGATTTGATTTTGGAGAGTGTCTTTGTCGCATGCAACTTTTGAAAGACCACATCTGGCTGGAGAGAGCGAGAGTTTGTCCAATCGTTTGAGGGGTAGGTCTGCGTGAATTATCTCTGAATAAATTTGTCTTTTTTTTTTCTCTTTTCCCTTCATTATTATTCATTTATTTTTAAATGCCCCAGCTTTAATTCGTAGCTCCAACTTTTTTGTAAGCAACAGACTAACAGAGAACAGGATCTCTGTTTCGACCAAACAAAAGAAAAGACAACAGGATCTCTGTCATACAACTTAGAAGTACAGTCCTACAAACAATCGTCCATGTTTGAATGTTTCCCAGGGGCAGTTCATTCAGTTGATTAATTTGTAAGTTAATCATTTTGAGCAGTTGACATAGCTTTGTCATTTACGGCACGCGCGCATTGTGCGTCATAAAAACCTCATTTTCTTCTTGTGTGTAAAACCCCAACATGGTGTGCTTTCACGTAATTGAAAGAAACCAACCAAGGACACACGAGGGAGGAAAATAATACAAAGCTTCATCGTATACACGTACACGTACATGGAAACTGATAACTTATTATAAAATTGGTTCATCTGCAAGATGTTACAGTCCAACCATTTTCAGAAGCTTCACCACCAAAATATGTTATTAGGCTAATCTTAAAATGTAATTAATAACATCGTTCAGTGCCGGGAAACCGAAACTATTAATTGTTTGCAGATTACGTGAAGTAATTTATTTTAGATGTCAATAATTCAATTAATTAGTAAATATATAAGTGCCTAAAGTACCCAACTGGGAAATAATCTAGGTTTGGCTTGCTTAGTGTGGTTCATACAGAAACCAGTGCTGGCCTTTTCGAAGAGAGAAGATAGGTTACGCCACAATTAATTTTGTAGGTATACTTATTGACCAACATGGGAGGAAAGAGACCCCCATCCAATATTTATTATATTTACCCTTTAATTTCTACTTATTCATGATTTTGGTGTTGAAATTAGCAAAACGAAAAGGCTCGAGGCTGGTGCTGATAACCTACCTGGCTATCTAATTTTCCAATTTTCACGCGGGACAATGTTTTTTTTCAAACTTTAGCTTTATCGCCTCCATTGAATTTTGTGTAATTATTGGGCAATGTCATTCAAAATTTATCGTAAAGAATGTTGAATTTTGTGATTAATTAATTAATTATTATATATGGCGGAGTGACATTTGATATGAGCTTTCATCTTAAATTGACCTCTCACTGAATTCGATACTTTGAGTGATTAATTATGAATACGACTCTTTCCTGCATGCCCCTCAATTTCCAACCAATTGAACCCTTCCAGAAAGGCTGTGGCTGTCCTATGAAGTCCTGCAGGCTGCAGAGTCTCGCAAACATCGTTTTCTTTCACCAATACAGAAGGCTGTTCTGTAAAGAAAATAGGCACATTAATAATAATTGACCACTATTAAAGATTAAACAATTCATAATAAAATTAGAGTGTGAATCTCGCATATCTAGGGTAAAAACGTATGTGAATCTCGCGGGGTGTTCCAAAATTAATATAATATCACGGTTAGTTAAGATGTTACATTACTGCAATTTGCATAGAAAAAAACCTACGACATCCAAACGTGGACAAAAATTTACTGTTCTTATTCACATGGTTGAAGGCGGCCAGGAGTGACAAGGGAATAATGCGAGTCTTCAAAGTGATGATTGGAATTTTTTGGACATTTTCTTGACCAATTTCACATTAATTACTACCTAACTTTCTAGCAAGGTTTAAAGTTCATGTCAATGTAACGGAAGGACGGATACGATACAAGACAAATTTCATCATCTCAGCTCCTTCCTTCTTCCTTCCCCACTGGAATTAAAACTTTTTATAATATATAATATTCTGTGATTGGTTTGATCCGGGAGAGATTCTTCATGATGTCATCATGAAAAGGAAAACTAAACACTCGCAAATCACGATTGTTTTTTTCTTTGTTTCTGTTCACATGAAACATTTTAAAACAGCTAGAGGAGCAGTTGATGTAACTGTTGAAAGTGTGTCCCTGTCTCCAAAGGGCCAGAGATGTGTCTTCTCTTGTTTCTCTTATGATTTATACTTTCAACAAAGCTTTTCAAATCAAGAGAAGTTTTTGCATTATTTGAGATAAATTTTATTTTACTTAGAGAAAGTTGGAAGGTGAAAATAGTTAATTCAGGTCAAAGAGAGCAACATTTGAGGCTATTATCATATTGCATTGATTTATAGGATCACGAGCAAACAAATGCTAGTAAACTCAAACTCTTATCTTAAAAAATCTTGGTTGATTTCATGTCAATTATAAATTCTATGTATTTACTCAAGGATGATGAATTAGTTTGGAATTATTTTTGCTCACCATTTAACCCAAGGTGTATTCCCATCATTATTTTCAACACTTAACACGTGTTTATAGACATAATCATAGTTAACTCTTTACTTTATATTTATTGAATTATTGTTATACTCATGGACACCTGTCAAATGTCGATAAGAGTGGTGATGGTACACCTTGAGTTAAAGTGGTGAGAAAAAATGTTATCAACTAGTTTTTGTGTACAAAATCCTAATGGTCTGCCAAAATCCAGAGTTTTATGAGTAAAAATGGATCAGATGATTGATGTATTCAAAAGATGAAAAGGGTTTAGTTTAATTAGGGAAAAAAAGTTGGTTGAACTTTCTTCTGAAAACAAAAAAGAGTTGGTTGATTTTGCCTTGAGTTTTGGGCTAATGAACTTTTGGACTCTATTTGGCTCATGGGAAATGAGGCTTGAGGATGAGGAATCAATTGCTTTCCTATGTTTGGTAAGCCCGTGCATGAGAAATCGTTGTCTGGCACATGTTAAAGTATGGGGAAAATGAAGCCCTCTTCCCCATTTTGAGTTTTGTTTCCCTCCTCATAGGAATGTTTGAGAAAATGAGCTAACATTAAATGCACTTTTCATGACTATTTTGTTCCTATTAACAATTTAGAATTACAATATATATCATTTAATAAATTCTTTTTAATTTGATTTAATATGGGTATAATTATAAAATTATACAAGCTTTGTTTTCCATTCCTATTCAAAACAAACGATATCTCCCGATTACTTTCCAATATTACCAAACATGAGAAATGAATATTCTATTTCTCATTCATTGGAAAATGACATGATAAGTGATTTTCTCTCAAATCTGTTTCGTGAACCAAACGGAGCATTTGTTCTTTTCTTATGATGAAGTGAGATCCAAAGTTTGTAGAAAATAAGGTGGGCTCAGGGGTGAAGCCACGTTGGGACCAGTGTAGTCCCAGACCCCTACTTAATTTTTATACAAATTTATAAATAAACCCAATCCTAGACATGTATTTATAAAAAAAAACACAAGCACTATTTAAACATAGAAACACACCCAAAATCAACCACAAAGTCAACTTTTTGGGTGTGTTTATAAATGGGTTTTGAGTGTGTGTAATGATGGGTTTTGGGTGTGTTTATATGTTTAAATAGTACTTGGGTTTTTTTATAATTTCAACCCTCATTTTGGGTGTTTTAGTGAAACTCCCTAATTTTTATTCTAAAAAAAGAAAGTAGCATGTTGTCATTGGATAACCCATATTAATTACCATATTTATTTTTACCACGTGGGGCCCTACCCAGCCAAACCTACGTTTCCTCCAAGACTACGCATTCTTTTGCAAACCCATTCCCAAAAGTTTTAATAAAACTATTATTATACTACCTTTTTACACAAATTGCTAAAAAAGCAAAGAGATTTTAATCCATTTTTCTATTTGCTTGGCGAGAGCAAACTTTCTCATTGTTTGTGAGTTTTTCTCTCAAACTCGATATTATATTATTAAGTTTTACAATTAGGTTAATTCATAGATGAATGATTGCTTAGTTGTATATATTGAGAAAAGCATTTTTAATAGTATAGATAACGTGGTTGTTATGCAAAGATTTCAAAATATGAAAACTTGTCAAGGACAATTATGAATTGTAATGGAATTGTTTTTTTTGTTGTCAAAATTATGATTGTAATGAATAGACAATATTATTTTTGATGTTTTGGTATGTCTTGAGTTTGAATTTTTTATTGTTTATATTTTGTGAAAGGTCCCCACACACTGGGCTGACTCGAGATTGGGCCTTATTTAATTTGGATGTTTACATTTAAAACTTTGGCCTTTCAACCATTCATATAAACACAGATAGCTCAATTTTTATTATTTTGTTTGGTCAAATGATAGCTCAAGTTTCAATCTCCCAAATGAATAATGTGAATGAGATTTAATCATGCAATAAATTACTAGTTCACAACCTAAACCCATGCACCGCTGTCCTCCGAACACCTCCTTCTCATGCATCTTCTCTCTTTTTCTCTCTCTCTCGACTACCCCACTTTAGTACTTTAGTGCTGGAGGGATGGTTGCCTTGAGGTGTCAGGTTTGTGGGCTTTGTCGGGTTGGCCTTCTTGTAGTGTTGCCTGGGGGTGTTTTGGTTGCTAGTCTGATTTTCCCTGTTTGTTTGGTTGCGTAGCAGCTTTTTGTGCTCTTTCCTTCCTTTCCTTTCGCAAATGGAAGTGTGTTTCGACCACACAAAAAAAAGAAAAAAAGAAAAAGAAAAAAAAAGAGTTTGAGTTGGACCTGACTTGTTTCTTAGGAAAACTTTTTCTTTTGGGCTTCAACAAAACAAAGTCCAAATCGTAACCCTCACACCAAGAAAACGAAAATTTCTTACGCAATCCCGTCCAATCTATATCCCTCCTGGGTTTTCTCTCTCTTACCTGACAACTTGATGATCTGAGCTTCGACTCACCAACTCGACTCGACTCGGCCCGACTCCGCCATGGCGGTTCAGTTCAAATTCCGAAGCTCCGTGAACTTCGACTCGGTCGATATCGACGGCCGAACCTCCATATCAATTCGCGATCTCAAATCGAAGATAATTCGCCACAAGAACCTCAATGTATGCCAAGACACCGATCTCGTATTCTCTGATGCGATAACTGGTCAAGGTCAACTCTCTCCCGCCCTTCATCTTTATCAATAGTTCTTTTCCGCTTTCAACTTATTATGGTCTGTGTTTGAGACATTACATTCGGGCATGAAATCTTGCTTAACAATTTTAATAATTAGAATTAAAATTTTGGTGTTTTTTTGCACGGAATTGGAATTAGGGTTTAAGCATATTGATAGATACATTTTAACATTCCTTTCTTTTCCGGATTGATTTCAGAGTACACTGACGAGAATATTCAAATTCCGCGTGGTTCTAGCGTGATAATCAAGAGAGTGCCCGCAGGATCAATTCATGTAGATGTGTAAGATATCTACCCATTTGATATTTATATTGCTTGCTCGTTTTTAATGGGCATGCATATTTCATTGGTAATGGAAGTTTATTTAGTGCCCCTGAATTTCTTCCTCTTGTGAATTTATACTACAGTGGCAAGCCTCACTTCAACTCATATCAGAATCTTCATAGCAAGGACTCTGTGAATGCTAAATCACTTGTTTCAGCGGTTTATATCTTAACTTTGCACTCACTTTTTTGTTGTTGTTGTTGTTGTAATTCTTCTGTATCATATAACTCTTTGGTAAAACTTATATGTTTCAATGTCACAGAATGTGGAGACTGTTGACTTTGATGACTTTGGGGTTGACTTGTTTCCCATTCCTAGGGCAACCTTTTTCAGTTCTGATATGGATGCGGACAAGGATACCTGCATCCTTGATTATGAGCCAAATACTGACATCAAAAGGTTTGATTGTTTTCTTTCAATAGTGATTTCTTAGTGTGGTATGACTTTTTATTTTAAAACTTCAGATACATCAAATCCTCGGGTAGAATTTTGGTATTTATGCAATACATGATTTTCAATGTGTACTTAGATATTCAGAGCAAGCTGTGGGAGGAGGCCGTAAGCTTGAAGCAAGTGGCCTTAGTGATGCTATTCCAGAAGGTATGTGCTGTTTGTATTGTTATTTGTTAGTTGTACGAGTCATTCATGGGTTAGGTCTATGCTTACCACTCTGCAATATTTAATTTAGGTCATGTACATAGTGGCGTTGAGCACACCGTACCACAGACAAAACCAAATCCTGAAGAAGACATGAATCTGGAAAAGTAGGATATGCAGTTGTTTTATCATCTTATTGTTTTTATGGTTCTTCTCTCAAGGATCTGACTTTTTAAATCACTTGTTAATGAAGGGTGGGTAGTGTGAATCCCATAGATACCCGGCATGCTGATTTGTCATCAGAGCTGAAATGCTCTTTATGCTACTCAATTTTCAAGGAGGCCATGATGATACCATGCTGCCAGCACAGTTTTTGTGAGAAATGTAAGTGTACTGTCTGGTAGTTTACCAACTTTCGTTCCTAGATATTGATTGGATATTATTGCCTTTTTTCTTTTCTTCCCAGAACTACTATGTAATTTTTCTTTAGATATTAGTAATCTGGGCTGTAACCTGAATGTGATAATTGCACTTGAGTTCAGGCATTTGTCAAGTGCTGCTTGAGAAGGCAAGATGTCCGAAGTGTTTTTCGACCAAATGCAGAGTTGATGATTTGCTACCGAATGTATCACTTAGGCAAGCAATTGAGCATTTCCTAGAATCTCAAAATTTAATCACTGGTCCAGATAATGATTGCTGCCAATATGCTCCAGGTACGAGTTTTATATATGTCTATTATGACCTACCTCAACTTTACTCTTGTGTTTAACTCTTTAGTAACGTAAAAACAGATGGCGAATCTGGAATTCAGGCAAAAGATGTGTCTTGTGGTGGTAGTATCTTACAAAGAGAGTCAGAGTTGCCTCATTCTCCTGAAACAGGGGTGGGATCTAATCATTTTTTCGCAGAATCTGCTCATATCCCAGCCTTCAAAAAAGATGCACCTAACCATTTCGGTGCAAAAAACTTTCTAAAAAGACATGGTTCTACCCGTATCGTTCCTGATGGCTTGGCAGCCTTTGATGATTGCCAAGGAGAAAGCAAGCCTATGCATGAGCAAGGTAATCTTTTTAAAATTTTGGGCTTATTCACTCTTGCTTTCATTGTCTGCTGTTATAATTTTGTATATTTCCAATGATGCATTTGATTTAGTGTAATGTAACTTTGCTGGAAGTAGACTCAGTATTCTATTTCTTGTATAACTAACCGTTGTATCTTTTCCAGTCCATATTGTTACTCTAATATGTCCTTTTATGATGTGATTACAGCTGAACCCACAATCAAGAAAAAGAGGCCACCTTGGGTTTGCACAGCAGGTACTATCTAACTTGGTCCTTTGTGACCTTGCTGGAACTTTATCAAGAAGCTATTGTGGCGTATATCACCTTTTCTAACAATCATGCTATTTTACCAGGTGGTGACAAGAGTTTCTTGGGGACTGGAAAGCACAGAAAGGTATTAACTGTGAAGTTAGACATGCAGTTTATTTTTATTGTGGGCATAATCAAATATGTCACTGTAGGGGAACATAAGTGCCAATTTAAGTTAAGTCCCAAACTCTGGATTTAAAATTTGGCAGATTTAATCATTAAAATCTTATTCTGTCAATTCTCTTTGATAGGATCTTTATCGTAAAAAAGTTGTAGTTGTTCACTGTTTTAGTTTACCAGCGGAAGTTGGTATTCTTTCATTGTTTTAGAAGTTATTTTTCGGCTTTTGAGCCCATGTTTTAGGTCCAAGTGCTAAAACGACAGACTCTATTTATGTCCTTATTGTGACTTCACTTTTTTGTCCTATTGTAATACATATTTATAAACTCGGGCTGTAATATTAGATGAAATGAAGAGAAAAATGAATTTGACATAGGTCCATCATTCATGTTATGACATTCCTCTTTGTTTTTTCGGGGAAATTTTTTGACTGTCTAGACCCTGTCTTTATGAAATCAGGGGGAACGTACCTGTTACATGTGTGGGGCTCCAGACCATTTCATAAGAGACTGTCCAGTTGCTTCAAGTCCACATCCTATGCTTCATGCAGGTATGAAATGGGACCTGCATGCATTATCTTGTAGACTATTATGAAGTCTTGTCTGTGATGTTCACCTATTCGTGGATTTCAGGAAATGCAATCTTTCCAGGAGCTATGCCAGGTTATGTACCACCATACTGGAATGGGGCTCCCTCACCTCATGCCCAGCCCTTTAGAAATCCATATGGAAATCATGTGATGACTGCTTTTGATACAAGTCTGGTCCCTCCTGCTCCTTTTGCTGCTCCTACATACATGGCATCTATGTATCATAACTCGTTTCCTGCCTTTGGGTAGGTTCTTTATCATCTTTAGTTGATTGGTGTACATAAGATATTGGTGATGGTATTGATCCTCAATCATATAAAGTATCCTTCAATTGCTTCATATTGATTTTGACACCAAACAATCTTGCAGTGGATATATGAGGATGCAAGGTGTCACTCCTCTTCGAGGAACGGGTGAAGACTGCAATTTAACTCATCCAGAGTTCCCGGATCTTCAAGGTCGGGAAAAGAGAAGAAAATTTTCAAATGAGAATTCGAAGAGGTAAAGTCTTTTAATTATCAATAATCAGTAGGAGGAACTTATGCATGTATTGTTTGATGGATGTGTGTAAATAAGGGCACAAGTGTAGGCATCTTTGTATGCTAGTTTGCGTCTGAAATGATAGTATCAGTTTTGATTATTGTTCTTTAATAGTCCTAATTCTTATGAGTGGTTTTGTCCTGCACCAGAGAGCAATCTCATGATGGTGACGAAGACTCTGATTTAAACAAGAGGCGTTACTGTACTGGGACAGAAAGATTGCATGATCATAAATCTTGTATAAACAAAGAAAAGAGTACAAGTTACTCTGAGGACGGCTCTACTAAAGGGTCCCAGAGGCAACATCGGCATCATAATCACACAGATGATGACATGCTCTCAATTGATGGTCAGCGGAAGAGTTCTCATTTGGTGGTTGGTGGTAGAGATCAGAAGCAGTATCATCGCACAGAGAGATCAAGTTCAGAAGTAGATGATATGTCAAGTAGCAGTTGCCACAGTGAAGAGAAACACAAATACTATCATAGAAGCTCCAAAAAGTATAAGGAAAGAGGAGAGCAGTGTGGCAGTGGTTCCAGCCGGAGTCATCATCAAAGTATGAGTAAGAAAGATGATCACAGTAAAAGGATTGAGCACGATTTCAAAAGGCACAGTCAGAAGCATCACAGCCACTCAGGATCTGGCATAGAACAGAGTGTTTCCAGTGATAAGAAGTTGCATAAAGGGAGCAGTCGCAGTTCTAGACATTCTAAGCACAGTGCAAAGAGTAATGTTGATGAGCTGAGTCATGACAGGTGGCAGATGGCTAGTGGGTCCGATGAAGATGGTGCAGAAGGTTATCAGTATTGTAGACGGAAAAGAAAACACTGAATAGAAGAAGTGCTGATTTCTGAGGTAAATTGTGTAGATGACGTCAGATTTCTCAACTTTGATGTTCTATATGGTACTCTTTGGTTTCAGTTAGATTGTATTATTTTGGTTAGCATAGCATTAGCTCTTTTTGTTTCTTGAAGTAATCTGCCTATACTTGTCGAAAGCAACATATTTAGCGCAAGTTATCTTTTGCTTATGTAGGCTACTTCTTTTCTAATGCCAATTCTCTGTTGGTTTTGTTGATACAGATCTGATTGACTCGGCTTTGGGACAGTAACTATTTGTAAATATCTGCTAACCCTCTTCACTTTTTTAGCTTGATCATAGAGGGGGAAGGCTAGCAAACAAAAGTTTTAACTAGAGCCGCAGTGGTTGGAGAAAAACTTCCCAATCCCTGTTTCATTGAACCCCCTCTCTATCGCTCACCTTCTTTGATAGGTGACAATGAAACGGAGATAGGGAAGTATTTCTCACAATGGTTGATGTAGCCATAGGCCTCATATACCTTTTGCTCTTCATGAAACTTTACTTTTGCAGCCATATCGAAGCTGGTTGAAGGTATGTTAAAAGATACAGAAACAGAAGACATAAAATCGGGGGGGTAATATTGCCTTCTCAAGTTGGCAAGCATCCGAAGTTATACATTTTGATTAAGCCAGTATATCCCAGTTACCCATTGCTGTGAGTAAATATAAAATTCATTTTAGAGTGTTGGAGGCTAAATTAATGGATAATATTATTAAAAAAGAATTCTGGATCAAAACAAAAGTGAGTTGAGTTTTTGGCATCTGCTGGTGGATTTTCCAATTCCTTATTTTAATATTTTGGTTCTGCTATATTACCTATTATTTCTTTCTTTTGGTTTTTTGGGTCCTGACTGGATCTAACAAATACTCAATATTTCCATAAAATCAAATAAAAGGTATATTTAATATTTCTGTAAATGTATACTATAGTATAATAATCTAGTCATATAAACTCAAATAATATGTTAATAATTTTTTTTGGATATAAATTCTTTAAAGGTTTTTTTTTGTTTCTTCTAAAGTAAGCAAAATATTTCACTAAGGAAACGTTTAATCGAATGGTGGGATATGAACTAATCCCTGAGACTTTTAGCGGCGGTTTTCCTTTCTGCTGCTAAACTTTTTCAGGGTATTTTTATTGGCCTTTTTTTGACTTTTAGCACCGGCCTTATTCGTCGATAAAGAAGTAGACCGTCACTAATACTAGAATGCTAACTTGCAAGCGTTTTTTCCTCTGTTTTCAGGTACATATTTGCTTCCCCTCCCCAAAAACACCGCGGGCAGTTTTAACAAAGGCCAGAGAAGCTGCAATGACTTGGATTGCACCAATGCAACCCAACACAGCAACACAAAAATACTGACCAAGCAACATTGGCAAAAATTAATTAAGAAGCTGCAGATAAAATATTAAACAGAGGCAATGCAAGTTGCAACAAACTTATTCTATCGATTAAGGGCTATGGATAATATGATGGACAATATGAACCATCCCAATATGAAGTATCCCACCAATCTTGTCGGCCCTGGATCATCTGGTTCCTGCAATAAGTGCTCCCATCCATTATTCATATAAAACCGTAGTCTGAACTGAACTTGAAGAACAAAAACTAAAGCCGGACTTTCAAGAATCAAATCAAAACCATAAAGAAACTAACTTAAGAAATACCTTAATTTGGACATGACCAAGATTAAAAAGATTAGCAAGTACCTGTACTGGTGGTGGAGTTCCTTCTGCCGGTCTCGTTTTCTCAACCTCATAAGGCCAAACATACGTGTCTGGTTTTTCGCTTCTGGCCAGGCTCCAATCGTATAGTCTTCGCTCATCCCTAGATGACAAGATTGTATACGACTCCTATGCATACACATACAAAATTTGAATCAGCAGATGAGATATTTTGTTCTTGAAAAATAAAAACATATACAAAATAAACTGGACTAAAACTGACTTTTAAAGGCACCAGATTCTTGTTCAGCTCCTCTTTATCTAACCCCTGGTTCTTTAGCTCATCAAGCTTGGCTTTGTACGCAACCGAAACCTGCATGCTTAAACAGAAACACATAAACAAAGAGACCAGGGAGAAGAAGATAGGTGCTTGAAGAAAATGGTTAAGTTGTGACCTCATCGTACGAGCATCCTCTTCGAAGTCCAAGCCTGCCATAGTGATCTACATCTGTAATTGCTGCAATTCTAAACCTTTTTTTGGTCAATTAAGCTCAAAGGGTAACTAAAAAAACCTTGAATATTCGAACATGAATGGATGATCAACAACTCAACACTCTACGTACGTATGCCGCGAAGTGCTCGTTCCACATTAAGAGCAGAAATCAGAGAAGGCGGTTCTTGTGGAACTTCAATGGAGCTTTGTGAATCGGCTTCAGTCGTGGCAGTCTCTGCCGATACATCACTGGAGCTTCTAATGATGCAAAACCTGCGCGGTTTTGAAGCAAACCTTATGGAGTTTGAAGAGAATATACAACCATTTTTAGGCGTTGGATTAATAGGAAAGTTTTTCTGCGCAATGTGTATGGTAGAGGTGGAAGATGACACAGCCATTGGCATAAGGTATAATTAGCATCAAGGTCAGCGTTTTTTTAATTTTCTGTTTAAATGTTGCCAATGCCTTTTGGAGTTTTGTTTGGTGGGAGATAAGGCTCGCCTTTGCTTTCCTACCAAAGGTTTGTTATCTGGCAAACTCTTGCTGTCGTCCTATAACATAAATATTTGTCGTTAAATAATATGTTTTGTGACAATGTAAACAACCAAGTCGTTGTAGTATAGTGGTAAGTATTCCCGCCTGTCACGCGGGTGACCCGGGTTCGATCCCCGGCAACGGCGCATTTTTTTTAAAAATGGCCTTTTTGGCTACTCATTTGTCGGTAAAACGACGTCGTATTGTATTTTATCCCTTTCCTGTCCTCTTCTCTCTCTTCCTCGAGCAACCAAAAAACTCTTCCAAGTCTTTCTTTCTCTCTCTCTTCGTATCTGCACACTGAAATTTCAAGTCTCAATCTTTAGGTTTCCCAAATTGGAGTTGCAATTACTAACTTGAACACATAATTCGACCAAAAAAAGGAAAACAGTGAACAAAACATGGGTTGGAACGAGGTAACCGGGTCGGGGCAGCAAGCTGGGCCGAGAGGAGGAGAAGCGGGTCCCAGTAGCAGCGACCCTGGCGCGGCGCGGCGGTTCCCACTGGCGGCTCAGCCGGAGATCATGAGAGCAGCCGAAAAGGACGACCAGTACGCCTCCTTCGTCTACGACGCTTGCCGCGATGCCGTCCGCCACCTCTTGGGTACAAGAACTGCTGTAGCTTACCAGAACGAGGTTGGGCCCTTTTAAAAGTTTTCAACTTTAGCCACTGTGAATTGGGATATAAATAACTAGTTCCATCCATGGAGTTCATTTTCTCTCTTTGTTGTTTTTGGCAGACAAAGCTTCTTGGGCAAGTGCTTTATTACGTTTTGACAACAGGGTCAGGCCAGCAAACTCTTGGGGAAGAGTACTGCGACATCACTCAGGTTTATCCATTTAGCTTCTGATTTTTCTCTAATTTGAAATTCCTTTGTTACTTGTGTAGTTGATGCTTGATACTTGTGTTTTTAGGTTGCAGGGCCTTATGGGCTGCCTCCAACCCCAGCAAGGCGAGCACTTTTCATTGTGTACCAGACGGCACTTCCTTATATTGCAGAACGAATTAGGTCCCAGCTCCCCCACCTGACCTTTTCTTTTCATTTTTACGCATCTATTCAGCAAACTGTGAGCTTACTCGTGTATATTTTTCGATTTCACTTCACGCAGTTCTAGAGCTGCTAACCGTGGCATAGTACTTGCTGATTCCGATGAGCTCTATGGCAATAATGCTTCATTGAGCAATGATGTTCAGTCTTCTTCAGTCACCCCTACTTCAACTGCCTCTACATCAGGGGCGTCTGCTTCAGCTATCAGAAGATTAAAAGAGAAATTCAACGGATTATGGCTTTCTTTAGTTCGCAGATGGCCTACGGTATACTTAACCACCTCTTATTTTTACTTATAAATTGATTACAGGTTAGGATTTTTGTCATCTTGTTTTTCAATCTTTGAATGTCACTAGCTTTGATTGGTGATCAGAGAACCTGGGTTGAATCCCTTTTGTAGTTAATATCTCTATGATGCTGGTCCCTCCAGGTGCTGCCTATAGCTCGTGAATTTTTGCAATTGGTTATTCGTGCTAACCTCATGTTCTTTTACTTTGAAGGTGATTCCTGCATTTAGAAGCTCATGCATTGTAGTGAAAGTTCTGGTGAAGATTTGGGAGAGACTAATTTTCTTGCTATTATTGATTCTCTGCAGGCCTCTATTATCATATATCAAAACGTACAGCAGGCATTCGTTATGTGTTCATTGGAAAACCATCCAACCAAAGGCCTAGGTAAGGATTGTATGTTACAATGGAATTTCAATTAGCTACTTATGTAAGAATGGTATATCAGCTGCTGATTACTCTTAACTTCCAGTATCAACATATTTTTTCATGCTGATTTTCTTATGCAAAAACACTTAGGTTTCTCATCTCCACTAGCTTTCTCTTCTGGGATGTATAACATTACATGAACTTGTCTTAGTATTCCTGTGACTGTAATTTTTCGAATTTTATGATTAAAAGGATTGAAATTGTCCGCATTCTTATTCTAAAATTTAATTTCCACAGATTGAGCATGTCTAAGAATCTCAGTGAATCTAAGATGTGCCTTTCATTGAGTCTTATTGCGATCTGTTTGCAATTTTCTCTATTCTCCTTTATTGTCAATGCCCTTGTTCTGCTCTTACTTTTGTCCCCTATTTGCTTCAGAACATCATTTGGCAATTGTATAGTGATTCTTTATCTATAAAATGCAGACTTGTTTTGTTGGCTTCCATGCAGATACCAAATTCTGGGCGTATTCCTGTTGATTCAGCTCTGTATTATAGCTGCTGAAGGACTGAGGCGGAGTAATTTATCTTCTATCGCAGGTTCAGCTCATCAGACTTTTGGTACACATCAAACTTCTGGAGGTCAGTTTGTTCTTCCAATTTGTTCTTACCAATTTATATTTATGGTCTTCACATGAAGCAACAGAACTTACAACCTATCAAGTAAAACCAGTCATATGGTGTAAGAGTAAATAAGTTAAGCCCATAGGGCAATCACAGAAGCATTCTTCATGGTTGTATATTAAAGACCAGTTTCCCTTTTTCAATTAGTAACTACAATTACAATCTGCCACCTTTGTTTATGGGTTTATAGGTCGAGATTTGCCTGTGTTAAATGAGGAAGGTCATTTGATATCAGCAGACGCTGCCAAGGGAAGTTGGGTCTCTGATTCATCGACTTCAGAGGTATATATTCCAATCATGACACTGAACTCTTTTCCTCTTTTGAGGCTCATGTATTACTCTTTATAAATTATGACTTCTGCAGTGTGACTGTGTGAATGGGTCGATCCAGCAAAAGTGTCACTCGCCTATTTGTACATCCAAGTGGATGTGATCTCTTTGAAATAAATTTAAATGACTGAATCAAACTTTTTTTTTTCTTTTCTCCTTTTAGTCTCAGGCCAGTGGGATGAGCAAATGCACACTCTGTTTGAGTAATCGGCAACACCCAACAGCCACACCTTGCGGCCACGTATTTTGCTGGTACTGTCCCTTTGCATTTTCATTACTCCGGCCTCTCTTTCGCTCGGGTTTAACATGATCTGTTTGCAGGAGTTGCATTATGGAGTGGTGCAATGAAAAGCCTGAATGCCCCCTCTGCCGGACTCCCATAACTCATTCAAGCCTAGTTTGCTTGTACCATTCAGACTTCTAGTATTCGATCGCGGTGCACTGCAGTTTTCACTAAACAGAAAGGAAAATCAACTTGCAACCAAGCAACTTGTCCTCATGTTCAATGACAACCACCATATTTATTCAGTTATTGTATGTCACTGAGAATAATAAATAGGTTAGAATAGAATGGAGCAGCACCTATGTGCCTCAAAAATGGTGGTTGTAAGCTTGTAATTGCCTCATTTGAAGATACAAGATCAATATGCGTAGCAAAGATTCTATTCGAGTGTCGAAATAATTCTTCAAATATATAATTTAATCCATATTGTTATTATAGAGTTCAAAGATCAAAGAAAAGACAATGCAAGCTCTTCTAGGAAGTCGACGGTTAGAGACAGTCGATCGATCACGTGCGCAAGTAACTTTCAAATTCCATCAATGACTGAGAGATGATGTAATTACTTTTTGGGCTAAGCCCACCTATTCGGCCCAAAAAGAAAAAAAGAAATTGATGATGGGCTAAAATAATGGTTTCCAGAAAGTATGTCAGATTACGATCTTCTCCTTGTAAATGGACCGTCGGATCAGGCTCCTCCTCCGCCCCTTTATATAGTAAACATATTCGGGTCCAGCAACGCCTCTGCTGAAGCAATTAGGGTTTTGTGCAAGCAAGCGCCGAAGCTCAGTCTTGGATACTCTCATCTCCTCCGATTTCACAACATGGCAACCCAGATGAGCAAGAAGCGAAAGGTAAACACACACAAACTCCCCCGAATTAGTTAAATAATTAGCCAATCAAATCTAAAATCTGAAATTATTATACATAAAAATGATAAATTAATCGTAGGTTTGTTTATGCAATTGATAGTTTGTGGCCGACGGAGTCTTCTTCGCCGAGCTGAATGAGGTTCTGACCAGAGAGCTGGCAGAGGATGGCTACTCTGGCGTCGAAGTTAGGGTCACCCCTGTTCGCACTGAGATCATCATCAGAGCCACTCGTACTCAGAACGTTCTCGGTAATTCTAATCAACGATCTATAATTCTGTTTATCAATCTAATTAATTACAATTAAATTTGATAATTTTGTATTCATTTGATAAATATATATGTGTATGTATACATCGAATAGGCGAGAAGGGTAGGAGGATTAGGGAGCTGACATCTATAGTTCAGAAGCGGTTCAAGTTCCCTGAGAACAGCGTTGAGCTCTACGCTGAGAAGGTGAACAACAGGGGTCTCTGCGCCATTGCTCAGGCTGAGTCTCTCCGTTACAAGCTCCTTGGAGGCCTCGCTGTTCGCAGGTCCAATTCCATTATTCCATTTTTTCTTTATTTGTTTAAATTCAGAATTCATGTCAGTCGAAGTCATCTTTTCAGCGAATAGGCTTATGATGTACATGTACGGAGTGCCGAACTCGTGTCTGAGGATGACTATAGTTGCTCATTCCATCTATGTTAGCTTAGGATTGATATGCATGTTCACTCCTGGCTATATGATCACTTTGGTCACTGGATGGTAAATTTTTCATCATTTAATGATCACATTGTGTGGGGCATGAGCATTGTTTCCATTTCCCTTTATGCCGTTTCTGCGTTAGACTTGGGATTGATTTCGTATCAATGCTCAAATAAAACCCCGGGTGGAGTTTGTCAGGCTTCTTGTGCTAATCTCAAGGTTCTTGGAGTTTGGAATATTCTCCTACATCTACCTGAATTGCTGCACAAGGGTGTACTTAACATTTATTTGTATGATAAAGTTATGCATTAAAGCTAAAGATTTTTCATTCTTGTAGGGCTTGCTATGGTGTGCTGAGATTTGTCATGGAGAGTGGCGCAAAAGGCTGTGAGGTATGCCATAAGATCCCTTGTTTTTCCATTTGGAAACCTTAGTTCTTTCTCATAGGACTCTAAAGATGGTTCCTGAGAAACTAATTTTTGTCTTGACATAGGTTATTGTGAGTGGAAAGCTCAGGGCACAGCGTGCCAAGTCAATGAAGTTTAAGGATGGCTACATGATATCATCTGGTCAGCCCGTCAATGAATATATTGATTCTGCTGTGCGACATGTTCTTCTTAGACAGGTTAGCTTCTTTCGAACTGCTATTTGGTATTAGCCGACTTTTTTTCTTTTTGACTAGTATGGTTGATTATGTGATTTTTTTTTTCTTGGGAATACAACAGGGTGTGCTTGGTATTAAGGTGAAGATCATGCTCGACTGGGATCCTAAGGGTAAGCAGGGGCCAATGACCCCATTGCCTGATTTGGTGACCATCCACTCTCCCAAGGAAGAACAATATCTTCCAGTTCCACCGGTGGCGGCAGTCAACATAGAGGCTCCTGCAGTTGCAGTAGCTTAAACTGAATTCGGTTGTTGGTGGTTGTTTCCGACAACGTTTTATGTAGTATTATGTTATGTTAGCAACAGTTTTTTGTTGAAATCAGGAGAGGAATACTACTATATTGTTGTTTTGATTAACTCCTCAGGTTTGCATATTTAAAGATTTTTTTCACTTAAATTTTGTTTTTGTTTTTATGAATGAGGGCTGGTGACTTAACTCGCTGTTGCTGCTATATGTATATTGGTTTTGGTTGAGTTTAATCCCGACCCAGGTGGAAAAAGTTATGGGTGTGAGCTCTTTTAGTTAGTAGCAGAGGCAAGGCATGTAGTAAATCTTTATAATGTTTTAGTAGTAAGTTTTTATATGATTCTCTTAAAATAAAGCAAATTGGTCTTTTATGGAATATGTTGGCCTTTCAAATTTGAGGTACACAAATGTTGTATGGATGGTTTGTTTTGGAAAAAGGAAATAAGTTTGTAGAAGCAAACTACGAGATTGATACTTCTGGCTTCATATGCAATGTTAAGGTTCTATGCCTATTGAATTGATTATCTTTTATTAACGTTAAAGAAATCATTAAGTTAATTGCGTTTGGTAATTTTCGACTGTGGGCTGGGTAATTTACTGGCTTAGCTAGCCCTAAAACAATTACAACGCCTAGTTGGGAATGGGCTATAGGCTATAGCATTGGATTAAAAGTCTGCATCGATCATGGGTTACGGACATTTCCGCTATTTCTTTGTAGTGTGATATGGATTATCAAATGGCTAGTTTCAAGAAAATCTGAAAGTGTAACCGGTTATTGGCATTGGATAAAGTCCGCATGAATCATGGGTTATCGACCTTTCTGCTATTTCTTTGCAGTGTGATACGGATTCTCAAACGGCTAATTTCGAGAAAATCTTAAGTGTAACCGATTATTGGCATATCTTTTAGAGTATGATTAAGAGATGAACGAAAGCAACTGTTGCTCTTTCTCACTTTCTATCATCTCGACCTACCACCTTTACAACAAAGGGCTTCACTAGGACATGTTTCAACCGTTTCAGCTGACTTATAAATAAATAAATAAACCTGTTTCAGCTGCAAAATGTGTTGTTTCAAATTCATAAAAATAAAGGTAAAATCTTCTAAAACCAGAAAACTGTTCTGTGGTGGTTTTCTTCCAAGGGGTGAAAATTGGCGAAAACAAGGTTCGAATTCGATGAGTGGATCGTAATGTATACAGACCATACATATCTTATCTTAGATATATACTTATTCATACAAGAAATTAGACCAGCTTTTTTTTTCTTTTTCTTTTTAAATCAACATTAAACATGTTATTACACTGTTTTTGGGGATTAAACAATTAAAAGGAAGAAGAAAAAAAGGTGCGATATTATTAATTGAGCAGGCGGGTATGAGTGAGGTCACATGTTTTCTTTTTTATGCATGCCTCGATCACTTGAACCATATTTTTTCTAGCGCTGAAAATCCAATGTAGGCTGCCGTCCATATCATGGAAGGAAGGAAGGCAATTCGAGTTTTGGTCCCTCTTCTTCACTAACACTAACGCTTTCTTTGTGTTCTCTTTAGTAATTATAATCTCTCAACTCACGAGAGCATGTATACATTGTATGATGTACAATTATTCTACACTCACTCACTCAGCAATTATTCTTGGTTATAAAACCTTGAAGAAAATAAAATAAAAAAGCTTATCAGATTGACATCATTTGTAGGTCATCTTCCAGCAACTGAGAAAGAGCACGTGTGCAAGACAATGTGACGGCATGTCACTCGAGTGCATTGCCCTTTTTACGACAACTACATGGTGACCAACCCACATTACCAAAAATGATAAAAGGTTGAAAATTGACACTGGATTTTGTCCTCAATCCCATTTTGTTTTCAAGGAAATTCCAATTGGGGGAAAAAGAAGGAAGGTATTTTGCGAGAAGAGAGAGAGAGAGAGAGAGAGAGAGAGAGAGAGAGAGAGAGATTTTCCTGGTAATAGTGGGAAGCACCAGCACCAAGCACGCCTTCATCACTCAATGTGTTTGTGACCCAAAACGAAAAAGACAATTTTAAATTGGGAAGGCAAAATGCAATTGCAGACAAACCAACAAGAGTCGTGATGATGATATAAATGGGCCTGCGTGCTTGCTTTATTTTTTAATGACTTGTTTTGGTGGATTTGTACGTAGGTTAATAGCAATTGTGTGTCATTTCTCATTAACTTTGAATTGAAAAATCTAAGAATATTCCCCTTGCAAAAGTCCCCATTGCATAGCATAGCATAGTCTTATATCTTTTGTCTTGCTCTTGGAACAAAATTTAGGGTTTCCCTAGGTTAGGTTACTGGTTTTTTTTTCCTTTGTCTTCCTAGCTATAATCTACGTGAAAATGATGAGTTACACAAAACCCTAGTAAAAAATTGCAGTGTAACTTGAAGATAAACTAGATAATCAAATGCCACGACACGAATGATCATTATCTACTAGACTCTTTATGTTGACCTTATTATTTTTTCCATGGAAAATGTATAGAAATTAGAAAAAGCTTTGACTTGGTGTAGGGAGCCAACCACAATCTATTAGACTATATAAAAGCAAGCCAGGCCATTGACTTACTTACTTAACAAAGACAGCAACTAAAAGGTAGACTAATTACCTTTGGCTACGTTTTTAATATTAATTCAACCAAAACAAATAAAAAGCCCTAAACTAAATATATCATTGTGAGCCGCCCTTTCAATGAACACAGACCACAACGCCTCATGGGTTTTCATTTAATCATCTTGCGTTGTCCGTGACCCTTGTCTTCCCATTAAGGTTATGACCATTCTGTCTTTTCAAGCTAAAATCTAAATTGTAACCTTCAAAGGCAATGCATACATGATTTTAGTCAAGTTGGTTAGAGCAGATGTGCTACTTATTTTGCAATTGAGTTCGAATTCCCCTCTTCCGTAATTTAGATTAGATTAGATTATATTAAAGTAAAATATCATTTGTGCTAGCTATAAATAAAAAGGCCAATAGAAGAATAATTAGAGGCAATATGTTCCTCTTTTAAAGACTTATATCATCTCAAATGGACTAGATCGAGATTAGGGCAATAAAAATCATGAAAATTGATACTAACGTAGTAACGTGTAACGCTTGCACAAGCTATAGCATTATAAATTGTAGCCTTCTTTTTCCTCTCTTTGGTATTTGTTTTCTGACTATTAAAAACTTCAGTTAACATGAGAACTCCATGAAAGCAATAACACATGGGCTTCGAGCATTGTTCCAACAAATCCTCATGGAGAGACATGTGGCACATAGCGGTGGCTTGCATATTTTAAGGAAAAAACGTCACCAAATTTTTTATATGCGGGTCAATTAAATATGCTATTTGACCCCCAATGTTATTGAGTTTTTCTGGGTGTAGGGACATGGTGTTTGATAAGATGCCTCAAAAGACATTCCATAAGGGAAAGGAGAATGATGTTCACTTGTTTATATTTAATCTTATAAGCTTCATTGTTATATTTTCGTAGTAAGAAATTTTGAAATTCGTCACTGAATTCGTATATGTTTTAAAATAGAGTAAGATCTAAGGTTTGGAAACTTGTTTAGTGTCTTTAGCATTTCTCTTTGCAACCCTATTGTTTTAAGTGCCCTAATGGTTATCTCAATTTAAAATGGAACTCGTGCAAGCAAAAACAAAAACCAAAGGCTTTTAGCGTTTCAGCAGAGCTTGAAGGCAAATGGGTCATTTGGTCATTTGAGAGATGGCATGAAAGAAATCATAATGCACATAATAATAAAGAAAGAAAGAAGAAAAAAAAAGATGGGATGGGGAGGAAGATGATGAGGAAGCTTAGGAAAACGTAGTGTCGAAGAGTGGGTGTTCCACAAACAAACATAAGCTTAGTGGAGTCACCCCACGCTCAATGAACCCGAGCTCTCTCTCTCTCTCTCTCTCTATATATATATATATATATAAATATAAATATATATATATATAGTGTAATGTGGGGCCCATAAGCAAATCCACATTTGATATTGGGCCCACAAGAAATCCCAATAGCGTGGGGCCCATCACATGATCCCCTCCCAGGCTTTTGCTTAGTGGGACATGGGTACACCCCACTACTACACAGGCTTGCGGGCGAGTAACCAGAAGCCTAGCGATATGGATAAGTCACCCACCCATCCCCATTTTACGACAACGGGTGGGTGCCGAAAGAAAAAAACAAATATATAAATAAGGCAGGCCAGCCCATAAAATCCATAGTGGGGTTCATCTCCATGCGTGTAATTGTTCGGTTTAACATTTACATCGTAATGTGGTGTAATTCGTCTATTTATATTATAACACGTATATATATATATGTATATTCAAATTATATCTAAATTTGTGACATATCAATCTCATTATTCATCGTAGGACATGTTTCATGTGTTAATTGTGTAACACAACACCACACGCGTAAGTTTTGTACAGTTGACTTTGGCCCCACAACAACTCACACCCTCCCTCCTTCTGTCAAAAATTTGTATCAAACAAATCAGTCCAGTTTGCAATTCTAACACGTTTTGCAAAGATTGCAAACTTGGCCTGCCGTGTTTCTAAAACTTGCTCAACCAAGCTCAACTTTGTAACCGTAATTCAACGTGGTTAACCAGTCATACTCAATTCTATGAATTTCAATACAAGTTTAGATTAACCAAATTGATTATATTGGATCAGCACCAGCATCAGAGTGACTGACTGACTACTTTTTTTAGAAAAAATTATACAGTTTGTAATTTTATACTCATGTATTTTTTTTTATAAAGTAAATACAATTGTAAAGAATCTAAAAGTAATTATCTCCACAGATTGTTACTTCATTATTATGAGTTTAGATTTTTATATTCCAGGCATGGGCTTGCATAGTAATTCTGCTGGTGTGAAGGGCAACAGAAAGTTCGTGATGCTGCTAGCTACTGACAAAATCATTACCCGTGCAACTAATGCTTATAGATCCTCCTGGTTTAGATTACCAGCTGTGTGTGGAGTTTTTTTATATATATTTAATTTATGAAAGTGGGGTTTTTTTTGAAAGTGGCTGTCTTGAGAGAGAGAGAGAGAGAGAGAGAGAGAGTTACTGTGTCACTATATAAAGCAGCTAAGCCCCTCCCCTCTCTCCTTATGCCAACCTCCTCCAAACCACACCCTCTCTCTCTATCTCATTTCTTCTTCAAACTTCTTCATCAGTCTCTACTATTCTCCTCCATAATCTCTTGTTTGTGTTTTTGCTCTAATTAAAATGGGTGAAGCCGTCGAGTTTTTCCATGCAAATGGTTTCTCTAACTTGACCCAAAAATTTGATCCTAAACTTGTACTTAATGTTAATGGTAACAGCCACTTAGACAGAGATGGTTCCTGGTATGAAGAAACCATTGACGATGATCTCAAATGGTCGTTTGCTCTCAATGTCAATGGGTTCGTATAATTCCACTTCCTTAACTAAGTACGTGTGTTCTTGTTTCTCCGTTTTATTTGAGACTCTGTTTTTGTCTATGGCTGTGCCTCTGCAGAGTACTGCATAAAGGGACGAGTGAGTTTCAAGAGATAGCCTTGTTGGATACAAAGCGTTTTGGGAAGGTTTGTTCATCTCATCATTCATTTGTGAATGTCGTCTTTCAAAGGTGCAATTAATAATTAATAATGTCGTTTTTCCTAATTGTGATACTAATAATATCGTATTTATATCTTAATTGATTCAGGTTTTGGTGATTGATGGAAAGATGCAGAGTGCAGAAGTGGACGAATTTATTTACCATGATATGCTGCTGATACTCTCTTTTGTCTCTCCTCTATGTCAGTCCCAAGTCCACTCCTCTCTACTCTTCATCCTATTCACCTGTCTTTTTTTTTTTTTTTTTTTTTTTTTTTTTTTTTCTTTTTTTTTTTCACATGCGAACCGATATAAGGAGATAGGAAATTCGAATCATAACCGAGCTACAAACCCCTTGCTTTGTTGCTATATATTGTAATCGTTAGTAACTTAGAAAATATTAACACTTTTTGTTTTGTTTTAATTTTATAAATTGTAGGGAGATGTCATTCCAATGAATAAAGAATAGCAGGGGTCTAATTATAAAGCGTGTTTTTTCAGTTTTCAATCACTTCTCAGACGCTTTTCTTACATTTTGATTGACGGGAATAAATAAAAACATTTATAATGTGTGACAAAAATTGATTCGTATTCTTTGTTTTTTTTTGTATGGGGTACAAAAATTGATTCATATTCGTTTGCTTCTATTCTACCTTTAATTAAGCAATTGAGATTGAGAATGTGCAGGCCAAAAACTGTATTTATAATGGGAGGTGGAGAAGGTTCAGCCGCAAGAGAAGCTCTCAAACACAAATTACTGGACAAAGTGGTAATGTGTGACATCGATCAGGTATTTCTTTTTCTTTCTTTTTATTCTCATGAAGTGGTGGATCAGTTTTATTTGTTGAGAATTTGTTTTAATATAAGTACGTGTTATCATATGAGTGAATGATATGGTTTATTTTTCCTCATTTTTAAATATAATCTATATATATAAAGCAAAAGGTAGAGAATTGTGAAACATTCAAAATACCAGAAAATATCATCGGTTAATTCAAACATTAAGAATTGAAATTATTAATTAAAACAAATTCCCAACAAATAAAGCTGATGGAATGTCCTAAGTTTTCTGTGTAAAATAAAATCATTGTAAATATGTATATTGTTGATATGACATTGAACAACAAAATAAAACTTTTGGGCCACGTGACATATTTGCAGGAGGTGGTTGATTTCTGCCGCAGACATTTGACAGTGAATCAGGAGGCATTTTCTCACAAGAAGCTTAATCTTGTTATAAATGATGCCAAGTAAGTGTACATAATTTTTGCTTTTTATAAATAAAACGATTCGAACTTAAGAACTCTTTCAATTTTGTGAAGATATATAGTTAGCTCAATGAATGTCTTATAATAACCAAACTTATTATTTTGGTTACAGGGCTGAACTGGAGAAGAGTTGCGAAAAATTCGATATCATAGTAGGAGACTTAGCAGACCCAGTTGAAGGAGGGCCTTGCTATCAACTCTACACAAAATCTTTCTATGAGCAAATTCTCAAACCTAAGCTTAATCACGGTGGCATTTTTGTCACCCAGGTAGATAATCAGTTTATGTCTTTTTTCTTTCAATTTTTCACACCAACGTTTGAGAAACATAAAACATATATTCTGTTTGACATTCAGGCTGGACCAGCAGGCATTTTCACCCACAAAGAGGTCTTCACCTCCATTTTCAACACAATCAAACAGGTCTTCAAGTGTAAGTATCTACCCTACATTTACACACACACACACACATATATATATGTATGTATGCATATATCCAACATAAAAGCTAGCTTATGTTCCCTGGTCTTGTTTTTTTTACATGTTTTTTGCAGATGTGGTGGCATATGCAGCTCACATACCATCTTTTGCAGATACATGGGGATGGGTTATGGTATGTGAACTCAAACGCATTAATATTTAATTTGCACTGGTCATTTTGATTATGAGTTTATAATTATGTGTAAATGTTGTTGTAATCAGGCCTCGGATGAACCGTTCTCTATCAATGCTGAGAAAATGGACAGAAGGATAGAGGAAAGAATTGATGGGGAACTGAACTATTTGAATGGTGCTTTGTTCATCTCCTCTGCAACCATGAACAAAACTGTTTCTTTATCGTAAGATCACTTCCTTCACCATCATACAAATTATGCCGTGAAATTATTGCTCAAAAACAATTTATTAATGGGATAATATTGTGCCATTTTAGGCTGTTGAACGAAACTCATGTCTACACTGAGGAAGATGCAAGATTTATTCATGGACATGGGGTGGCTTACCGCATCAACTGAGGTCTCAAGCCACAGGTTGGGGGAATTGCTGTACAGCAACAAAAACAAAACCAAAAAAGAAAAACACCAAAGTGATGAAGAATGGGAGTTTGACAGTCACCGATTTCTTCAAAAGAACAAAAGAAAAGAAAAAAAAACAACAATTGTTTGCAGCATTTGGTTTTACACTAGAATATGTTAGCTTCATTGGGTTGTTCATAGGATTCAAAGTGAGAGACCTTTTTTCAAGTTATCTTTTATGAATGAAACATGATGAGGCATTCCTCCATTCCTTATTAGAAAGCTTTCATTTTCTTAGCAAGTGTTTGAAGCCCACAGTGGCTTTATCTAATTAATTGTTATAAACAATCAAAATCTATTCACTTGAAAAACATATTTCATACAATCATCCAGAGTTGCACATCATACCAAAGATACAGAAAACAGAAAAGACAGATAATTGAGGAAATATTTTCAACCTCTCCTTCAGGTTCTCTTAACTGGGTCGAAGTTAGAGACCCCAACAACAGCTCCTATAATGGCTGTAAGCACAACTCCACCAGCAGCAATGCTAAGCAAAAAGTTGTTGAGAGAGGGTGTGAGGCCAGAGCCTGCAGCCTCAGCCACCTCAGGTATCACCATGGAGGCTGTCAATGCAGCTGCTGTTAGGCCTGTCACTGCCTTTTCTTTGAAAGATGCCTCCACCTTAAGCATGCCTTTGGACTTTGGCTTCACAAAAGCAGCCTTCTTTGATGGCCTGACTGGGACTGATTTGAACAGTGATGCAGAGTTAGACTGGTTTAGTCTGTTTTGGGTGGCAGACATCAGTGGGATAGCCATTGAAGCAGAAGCCATTTCTTTTGGTGCTAGCTAATGGATTTTCTCTTTGCCTAGAATGCAGGTGTAGGTGTTGGTATATTTGGGGTTGGGCTTGGAGTTTAGATATTGGATGAGCAGTGGAGGCAATGAAATGGGGGGTGGAAATTAGAGATTTTCAGCTGATGTGTCTCTTCAGAGTTAACCTATGTGGCAAAATCTCTACCTGGGTTTGAAGGATAAGGTTATCCCCTAGATTTGATCCTCTCCCTTTTGAAACTGGAATTCAGGATTTCATTGAGAAAGCATTTCATATATATGCATGGCACTTGGCAGGCCACATATGCTTTTGGATTGTCATGCCACGTCATGTGCTCATTTGGGCTTTCAAGTGCCTCTCAGTGAATAGAAAACTCAGTTTTTGGAGTCTAGCTTACAAATGATCAATTGACTCTAGGGGCAGAGACTTCTTAAAGCGTTAGAAGAAAATAAATGTAAAAGGAGAGGTTAATGGTCTGTGACCAATAAGCATCACCATTGTTTGTTTGTTGCTATCAAAGTCATCTGCCAACACCTTCCAGGATTTGAGCTTTCAAAATTTGCAGACATGCCTGAAGAATTTTCCATGTAAATCCAGAAAACTATACTATTTCTCTGAAGAAACATAAATTGAGCAGCTAAACATAGGGGCAATAATCCAGTTAAAATATACTGCCTTCTTCAAATTAATAAGTCTAAAGTCACCATTCACCACCAAAAAAGTAGAGAGAGAAGAAAAATAGAAACTAAACAACATTTCATATCATATTCATTCCTAATCTAATCCACAGCAGTAATCTCATCTCTCTGCTAAAAATGGAGTTTCCACCTCCAAAATTCTACTAACTAAAGGAAAAGAAGTAAAATCATCAAGAGGTCTTCTTTTTACCCCGCAGTAAATCATTTGCTGGCAACAGTTGCATCTATTTTAGTTTGAGTAATATGAACTTCTTGGGGCAGCAGATTGTATGTGATGTTTAGCTCTTCCAATATTTTCTTCAACTCGATGACTAGTTCAGTTCGCCGCTTATTCTTTTCTCCAAATTCCTGAAAGTTCATAGTGTGATTCACATAGAGACCCATCTTTAACTTATTCAGATTTTCAATTTCAACCACCACCAGATTGTGGTTAGGATGCCAATGTTGCGAGTTCCTCTCCAAATGCCTGAAGAAGCAAAAGGAAATTGCAAAAGAGTAAACAACAGAGCAGCAGTACAAATTGATGCTAGACTGTCCACTCAAGTGTAATCATGTGTGAATGTGCAGTGCAGTCTGTATGATATGGCAATTGTGATTGGTAGTCGAGTAGCATAACATATAAGTTTATTTGAGAAGAAATTAAACATGTGTATGTTTATAGACGTGCCCGCACATACAAAACAAGTAAAAGCTTCAATTAACTCACTTCTTTATTTTCTCTTTCAGCAAGCCTATCTTCTCCACCGAGGTCATAAAAGCAATCGAGAATTCCACAATATCGCCCATATCTGGACTTCTGTAATAATTGCTGATGGGTTTCATGGATAAAACGGAATTTGGATAGTAAATCTTCTCATTATTGAGTTTCAAGAAGACTGTGTTTAAGATGTTCATCTCCTCAACCATCAACTGTCAGGTTACCAGGTATTAGAAATTTGATTAAGTAAACTCCACATAATGAAATAATAGTAGTGAAAGTTACCGGAACGCCATCAACAACACAGCGGTCACCAACATCAAATGGATGCATTACAAATACAAAAATGATAGCCTCAAATATTGTCTTGCAAGTGTTTCCAAACATAAAAGCTGCCACTACGAGCTGTGATGAGAGGAAGACAAGGACTTTTGTGGTTGCAATTTCCATCAATAGAAGCCACACTACAACGGTAATAACAACCAGGATGCCAGTCACAAGTTTATTCAATTGCCTTACAGCTGTTTTGGTGTCATTTAAAGAATGAGCTAATGCTTTGCGACCATTGTAGACCTTCACCTGCAAAAATAAGAAGGTAAAATATGTTTCACCTCTTATTTCATTTTGCCAGGAAGATGAAGGGAAAAACTGTAAACAGAAGCAGACTCAAGTTACCAAATTCTCTTTCTCCATCCCCTGCTATATGCTTTTAGATTGAATGATATGCATGATTTCATAATAGGGCATGTATATGTATGATGCAGAAGTAGAACTCCATGACTACAGTATCAATAACTACCACTCAATGTGGAACTCAAGACAAATAAAAATAAAAGGTCTTACCACCCAATCTGTTAGAGCTTTTCTGTCAATACGTCCGGTGTCTGCTCCTTCAAACAGCGGAAACACAAGATCCACCTCTTCCTTAATCATGAACCTCATGAGGTCCTCCTCCTCTATGTACCTAGTCAGATGTAAGATAGTTAAAATAAAAAAAGAACACATATGAAAAGGGCACCAGAATATCACAAATAACCGCTAAACAATAGGGTGGTCTTTCTCACTTGGAACCAGCTGGCGCAACGTTCAAAAAAATGTGATAGGCAGCGGCAGTTGCTTCCATCTCATTGGTAATCTCCTTATCCGTCTGTTCAATCCCTCCATGTTCCATCTCATCCAATGTATGGGAGATAGTGGACAGCCCTGAAGTAGAAACTGCATCCACCAATACCTTCATGGTCCAAGCTGAAACCTTCTCTTGCTTCATCTTCTGAAGCTTTCCCATATCAATCACTTCTTTCTCCTTCCCAGCTTTAGCCTTCTTTGTCGTCCTGAAACTCAGTTGCCCAGTGCTCGGTGATCTCCCAACCCTCTCAGCCTCCTCTATAAGTGCAGGCCCTGAAAGTGTCTGAAGAACATACTGATGGAAGATTGATTCTTGGATTCTATCAAAAAAGGTGTTCACATGGAAACTAGAAGCTAGGATCTTAAGTAACAAAGTCTTTAACAACCACAAAAATGCCCCAATAAGAACGGAAACAAGAGTCCATGTGACGTAATTCAAAATCTTGGTGGAAGTCTTTGATCGCTTGACCTTGCCACCATTGAACACCAGTAGCCATGTGAGAAGAACCAAAGCCAACCAAATGAAAACCTGAACACTCTTCTTCATTCCATGAACAAAATACAACACCTTCTTCCTAAGCAAAAAGTTCCTCTCAATGACAAACACTACGAAATGCATAAACCAGTTTGTAACCAACATGCCACAGAATATCACCATCACAAGCACACACCATTTCCATACCTCCAACCCCCACATGTTAAAATTCTCTAATTTCTCAACAGTCAAGCTAGACACTAAACAAGCCAGAATGCCCAGAAAAACAACCCACTCGAACAAGGCCTTAGTCTTCACTTTCCTATGCTTATCTCTACTCAATTTCACCTTCTTGTAAATCTCTTCATCCTCCTGCTCTTTGACCCTGCCCGGAGACGGCATCACTGGTACCCTCGAAGAGATTGAAACAGTCCTAATCCCTGGGGAAGCCCTATTGAATGAACCCCTATATGGGGAATAGGGGGAATTTGCACCAACTTGATCTAAACCACTCTCTTCAAACATATTGGAATCAATGGGTACTGATTGTTCACCAAACCTTGACTTGGGTTTGGAAACTAACCTATTGAATGACTTTCTCTTAGTGAGGGTCTCATTTGCGGTGGGGATCTTGGGAGGCTTACCGGGACTGGATCTTGAAATTTCAGGGGAAGGGAAGCTCACTGGGACTGACTTAGAAACCCCAGTGCTGGACTCAGTGGACCCTTTGGCGGGTGAGCCCACTTTGCTTGGCTTGGGGGCAGAAGATTCCGAGCCTTTTGAAGAAGACCCTTTTGCTCCATTGCTAACTTCGGTTCGAACTTCCAATACAACTTCACCTCCATTGGCAGAATGCTTCTCCGACATGCTTACTTCGCCGCCTTTTAAAGCTTTCTCTTCCCTGTGGCTTTCATTAAAACCCTACCACAATAAACACCCAGAAGAGCTCGCATTAAAACCTCAACAACCAAAAAAAAAAAACAAAAAAACAATATGAGGCACCGGATACAGAATCACATTTAAAAATGTGAACTTTAAGAACACTTTTGGTAGATACTCCCCATTCTGATCTTCATTTCTTTTTCTTTAAAGGTTTGAGCTTTGTGCATTGGCTTTCTAACAAAACTATAATAAGCTGATTCTATTTAAGAATAACAGGCAAAGAAGTTATCTTAGCGCCAAAAATATCAAATAAAAAACTAAATATAGTCTAGAACAGTAGGAAGGAAGACTCTGCTTATTTTCCCTGAATATGCATAACCAAACTTACCGGTGCTGTCCACGAAGAACCCACCAAGGAAAAGCTGGAAGGCCACTTGCTGAAGAGGAGGTCCCAGTGATTGTTGATTCAGTAGTGCAAAGCAATTGATCAACTGGGAAAAAAGTAAACTTTGAAAGCAGAAAAGACCCCAAAAAAAGGCCTTGATTGAGTTCTTAGCTATTATAGATTTGGTGATGATGCTTGCAAAACTTGAAAAGAAGAAGACTGTGGTGATGCTCTTGGAGCTTAGACCAGAGTGAGAAAGTGAACGAGCAAAGGAGGAAAGAATGGCTGCAGAAGTCAGGGACAGAAAGATGCAGAGGATTCAAATGTTAGAGGAAATGCGAATTCCTAAGACATATAAAAATGTTTAACCACGTGGTGTTCCTGGAAAAATTATTTCTTTTTCTTTTTTTTTGGAAAAATTTTTTTTTTTTTTTTTTTTTTTTTTGGGTCAAGAAATAATAAGATTTCTTTGATGACAAGAAATGATAAGATTTAAGTACACTAAGAAAGGTCTTAAATTCTTAAATTCTTAATTAAAGTTAACCAGTCACATGCCCCAGTTATGATAACAGCATCAGCGTTACCTTGCTTTCTTATAGTAACATTAATATTGCTTGATAAAGACGTATTATTAAGGTAATGAATGTTGGATTTGGAAGACTAAACGAGTGCAAAAATGGAATTTGGAGCATGAACTTTTAGTTGTTGTGAGTTAATTAATTAATAATTGTGATTGG